CAGTACTGCAGTCCTGGCCCTGTTTTTACCTACTATGTCACTTTGGGCAAGTCACTTAGCTTATCTGGGCTTTAGTTTCCTCATCTTCCCATAAGTTTTGACATGTAGTATTTTTTCCAATCTGTTCATTTCCCTTAACTTAAAACATTTTTTTCTAAATACATGGTCGATTTTTTAAATTATCTTTTTAAAAAGTGCATTATTTTTCCATATAAATTTATATATTCTTAGGTCTATTCTCAGGTATTTATAATAGCACAATCTGTAATAGGTGCAGATTTGCACATTATTCCTTTATCTTCTATCATCAAATGTGGCTAGCCTAATTCCTCCTTCTCCTCTTCGAGAGGCCTCAATTGTTTGGTTGGATGTCCAGAAGATTCCTTCTTCACCCTTAAAATGTAGAAACATTCCTAGGAAATATGTCAGTGCCAAACGTTCTGCATCAATTTTTCTTGACACAGTTTGAACTCATTATTTCAAACCTTCATTTCTATAAAGTCTTCTTCAACTATGTATTTGAGTTTTTGTTTCATTTCTTTGGTCTTCTTCAGGTACACCAATTATACCTAAGTTAGATCATCTTTATTTTCTGCATCTATTATATTCTAATAGTTAATTTCTATTCATTTTCTCAGTCTGTCTTCCCTATCCTTCACTGTGTTTTCAGCAGTTTGCCTTCATTTTTATTCTCTTTCCAATGAGGCTTCTAATTCTGTGATAATTTTTGTTTTCTCTTCCACTATTTTCCTGGGCTTTACCTGCTGATGTTCCATTTTCTCCTGTTACCATGCCTTAGTTTACCTGATCCCCTGTATCTCTGCTTGGAGTTCTTTATTTTAAGTTCTTTGAATTTATGGTGGCAGGACTGGCCATTAGTTTTCAATGGAGGTAAAAACATTTTTCTAGTGTGGGTACTTTACCTGCCACTTGTTTCCCATTTTTCCCCTCCTTTCTTATAGTATCTTTCTATAGCTACTGTGCTGGTTCCTTTTGAACAGGCAAGTTCTTCCTAGATGATCTGAAGGAGATTCCTAAGGGAGAGAGGCCAAGGCCATGTTCCAAGTTAGCAGAAACACTTGAAGTTTTTGCAGCTCCCCAGTCAACAGAGGTGAGGAGCTGTTAAGCTGCTCACAATTCAATCTCTCTTCCGAGTTGCCTCATCTAATGATCCACAGAAGACGGCACGTCTATGTGTCTCCTTGTATAGCTTAGCTCCCCTCATACCCAAGGTGTCAAACAGGGTCTGGAGAAGCTCCTCCTGCCAGCCTGTGCACCATTCTCAATGTCCCAAGCAAAAGACTGTCAATTTTGCCCATTAAAATCCTATGGTGGAGAACTGCGCTCTTCTGAGTTTGAAACCTGCAGCCACAGGTATCTTTCCTCAGCATCTCCTAGACCCATTCGATCTTCATCATACTGCCATCCTTCCTCACTTATGGGTGGAGCATAAAGAAAAATTATCTGACTTTAATCATCACATTGGCAATGCTTAGGTTACCCTGCTGCCTTTTTCTCCATAGTCTTCCCCGTCCTCCTGCTAAACTTCTCTCTCTCACCTCCACTGCCTTTCTGCAACTATTGCTTCACAACACCTTACCTCAACATGTGAAACAAATGCCCTTAAAAAGAAAAGGCTGTGAAGCAAGATTGTTTTTACTTTTATCTTTAAAGATTGGCACCTGAGCTAACATCTGTTGTCAATCTTTTTTTTTTTTTCCCCTTTCTCCCCAAAGCCCCCCAGTACATAGTTGTATATTCTAACTGTAGGTCCTTCTGGCTCTGCTGTGTGGGACACCACCTCAGCATGGCTTGATGAGCCATGCTAGGTCTGTACCCAGGATCCGAACCAGTGAAACCCTAGCCCGCCAAAGCAGAGGGCATGAACCTAACCACTCAGCCACGGGGGCAGCCCCATTTTTACTCATTTTTAAACTGTGGATATTACTATGTCAGATGTCTCCTAAGGAGCAGATATGCAACATAAAATATTTACTCCTTGGAGGCATGAACACATCTTCACTTTCCATGACTTTCATAACAATAACATAAATTACTGCTCACCTTACTCTTATACTTTAAAAAAATTTAAAAAGTGCCATGTCTACTTTATTATTATATGCTCCTTGAGGGAGGAAACCGTATATTCCACTTTATTACACACAGTGCTAATATCAGAACATGAAGGTGAATGCGTGTGTATATCTAGAATTTTTTAAAAAGCCCCCAAGTTATCCAAATGAATTTACCACTCTACTCTGTAGAACATTTTCCCACAATTGCTAACATAACCAAAATCAGCTAAAGCAAAATTCTGAGGGAATAAACCAGCTTTTCTTGGTCTTTTCCATTTGTCCTCCCTTCAAGCCTTTTCCTAACTGATTATTGCTGATCAATGTCTGCAGAGAGGTCCTGCCTTGTCAAACTTTGAGATGAATTCTGGCATAGCACCCCTTCGGCTCCTGGCACAGAGGCTGACCGCTCAGCTCTGGCATTGTGGTCTCAGGCAGGCCAGACTACCTACAGAACACAGATTCATTCCTTGTTCAAATCACAGCATCTCCAATAAGTCTGTGTGAACCAGGTTAGGGCAAAAAGCAAAAAGCAGCAGCAATTTATCCAGTGGTCTCATGGAGGAATTAGTCCTCTCATTGTCTAGAAAAAAGAAAGGAGGAAGTTAAAACCAGAAGAATTTTATATTTTAAATTCCCCTGCTGACAGTCTTGCCAGGGACTGATGGAGCACTGCAAAATTCCAAAGATCTATCAAAAATACTTATGCGTACTAAAAGACTTTCTCTTTATTGCTGCCAATCTCACATCTACTAACAAAGGCTACAGAACGTTACTAAGTATCATCACTGTGCCTAAAACACATGTGTATGTGTTCACTACTATTTGTTGAATTGATGAGCAAATGAATGAGAATTCTAAAAGGTTGCCACAAATCCTGAGAAATGAAAAATTATATGATACAGTCAAAATCATTAGGTGCCAAACAGATAAAGTAACTGCATTAAAGATCTCAGAGGAATCAGCACAGGATGCCAAGGGAAACATTCATCCCATGTGTACAAGGTGGTCGGTCTTACCCGGATTCACCACCAGTATTCTTCAAAAAGCATCAGAGATACCTACAGTTTCCCTTCTCAGAACCTCAAAAATGTCTTCTAGATGTTAAATCTTAAAGCGCAAATGGTCCGCTAGTTAAATATTAGGGCAAAATAAATCCCATCACACTGCCAATTCTATTCAAAACCAACCCTGAAACATGCAACTAAGCAGAACAGAAGCCCAGAAACAGCCACCCATCTTTCCCCACAAAACAGGGGAAATACTACATGTCTAAAGACCACAGACATTGCCAAAACTCAGGAGAAATACCAGAGTTCTTCTCTCAGAGCTAGTGTCTAAGCCAGGTAGAACAAGAGAAAATGGGCTTAAACCAGCACATTATAGTATTTGGAATATGACTACAAGAAGCTTCTAGACCACATAATGGGTTTGGTTGAAAGGAATCAAGGGAATTTTTTCCCCTGAGTCTTTAAAAGGCAGAGGAATGAACATAATAACCTTTTGAAGCAGCTTTCTGACCTAAGGTCCTGATTTCTCTCTGGAAAATACAAAAGTCAAATTTACCTAACACCCATATAACTCTCCTTGATTTTATTTCAATTATAGGCACTATATTCAATTGTAGGTTTTATAATAATAGCCAACATTTCTAAATTGCTTACTATGTGCCAGGCAGAGTTCCTAAGCCCATCACAAAGGAGACAAGATCTAACTCTAGAGAAATAGCTGTGCTCCTGAAAAACTGTAAACGAACTTACTATGTTCAAATGTTTTTTACAGGACCTTTATGTGTAAAAAAAAAGAACCCCTTTCCTACAATAAACTGTGGGTCAGAAATAAGAGTGACCTGTGCAATGCCCCACAGCTAGTCAATGGACCAGACAAGACCCAACCCTAGGTCATCTGGCTTTTTCTCCCTGCACCATGCCTGTCACTGTCCATAGAGTTTTATTCTTCTTAAGTCATGGTGTTCATGCCGTCAAGCAGGACTACAGGCTTTAACCACTACTAGCCAAGGTTTTCAGTTGCTCTGATCACTATCAATCACAATGTTTAATACAATAAAAGGAAAAGATAAAGGGGTAAAGGAAAGAAAATTCTTCCAAGTGACTTATTCAACAACTTTCAAAAATAAATTTATGCTGCACTGCCAGCTTAAAAAGTTCCTCCTACTACCCGTGTTTCTATGAAGGGTTCTCAAATTGTGGATGTCCAGAAAGAAACTACTCAAGGTGAGACAACTGTATTAGCATGAAAGAAGCCAAAAGATACGGCAAGTGTCATCCTCCTCCACTCAGAAAACAATGACTGGATCACGGCCATAGGCCAGATTTCCAAAAAGAGACCACTCTGAAGAGGACGGATGTCAGGCAGCAACAGCAATCCTGGCAGAAGGGCTGGGGGCATAAATAGTCGTACGGGTGGTGGTGGCGGGGAGCTGCGCAGTGAAGAGTCATAACAGAAATCTGGTGTGGCCAGGAGTGAATGACTACCAAGTGAGGCGCCAGCATTTTCCTTCACAGCCATCACTCCGTCTTCCCTCCTCCACCCCCCAACTGAAGCAAGGCGGCCGGAGAAGAGAGGGACAGGAGTGGTAAACCGCGTAGCTTTCGGGTGTAAACTCGGCTTTGAGACCAGTTTCCGCCATGAAATAGCCATCTGACTCGGGTTAAGTCACAACACTGTGCCTCAGTTTCCCCATCTGTAAAATGGGGGTAACCACACTCCTGACTGCACAGGAAAGCTACCAGGATTAAATGAGACAACGAATGAGAAACCCTCTGCACAGCGCCGGCCACAGAGGAACCGCTCCGTGGCGCTAAGGCAAGTTCACAGGAGGGTCCTGGGATCTGGGCTCCGGCCCGGAAAGGGCGCTCCCAGGGCCCGCTCCCCGCCAGCCGGGTTCCGAGCCCTTGCCCGGCCCACCTTGTTGTTGTACTCCTCCACGAAGCTGCCCAGCGCCAGGCGAAAGCGCTTGTCGGGCCGCACACTCCAGTTCATGGCGTAGACGGTCCAGGGCGCTTCATACTTGTAGATCTCCTTCCGTTTGCCGTGCAGGGACATGGTGGCGGCGGCGGGGCCGCAGTGCGGGCCCGGTCGGCAGCGGGCTGCGGCGGGCGGAGCACGAGTCGAGCGGAGAGCCGGGCCGGGGACCGAGGGGTCGGAAAGGAGGCGGGGCGGGGGCGGGCAGGAACGGCCTAGTCCGGAAGCAGGGCCGCGGCAACAAACAACTACGAACGGGCCCGACCCCACTTTCAAACCCCCTTCGGCTCGGACAACCACCACCTTCCGTTTGAGACGCCGCCCCGCCCTCTCGAACGGAAGCCACGCGACACCCGCAGCGGCGCCGGCCGTTGGCTGCCAGACACGTCCTTTCGAACAATTACTTCCCCTCATTGGCCATTGCACCTGAAGCTTCTGAAACCTTCTCGCTATTGGCATAAATGTCTGTCGTTTCAACTATTTGCCCCGCCCAACCCCAGGGGGCAGGCGCTTTCGCAGCCCCGAAGATCATTGGCTGACAAAGATGTCAGTCAGACAGATAACGGCGCAGTGCAGGTGAATGGGGGCGTGGGTGGCAGAGAGGCTAGTGTGCGGAGCAGTAGGCCTTCAAGTTCTAGGCCGAGCGTCTGAGAGGCAAACCTCTTGTGTGACCTGCTCAGAGTTCCCTCTGCAGTTGCTATTCCGAGCAGCTTCTCCACGCTGTCGAGAAAAAATTAAAATTCTACCTTACCGGAGGGCCTGCTGTATTTCGCAGCACTGAACCCCGCGGCCTGTCAGCCTGGCCCGCGCCACACGGCGACCACCTTAATTCCCCACTCGTGCCAACGCCCCGTTTAAGCCGGAGAGTTGTTCTCCCAGTGCCCCAAGGGCAGGCCGCAGACACGCCGTTTGAAAACCAGCTTCCGTCGGGCCTTTCCTCGCTTTCCTGGCCGTTCTAGAAACGCTCGGAATTCTAGGGTTGGAATTCAATAGGCAGCGACCCGACCAGCTTGGCTCTAAGTTTTTGGCAGTTCCCTGCGCGTCCCTTCCCCGCCGGGTCCCAAGGCAAACGCTACTCAAGCCCTAAATATACCTGTGCCAGAGTCTGAAGTGGAGGAGGGTCCGGTCCAATCTAGGTAACATTTCTATAATTTAAATGGTTTCCAATTCTTTGCTTTCAGTAAAACTAAAGGAGTATTGAGAGAAGGATTGTATTGAATTGTTAGATTGTTAACAGACAACTCAGAATTTAAATTGAGTGACACAAACCCCTTGGAATTCTAGCTACTTACTTATGTAAACAAGTTTTCTCTGTGCTTAAGTTTTTAAAAAAGGAAAGAAAAATGTTGCTGAACCTTGTCTTACTCTAATAAAAAAATGATATTTATCCACACACATGAATTGAGAGGAAAATACCCTCTTCTAAGAGATCTATTTCCAATAAAATTTGTTTTTATAAGAATTTGAACATATATTTATGTTGTCTTGAACAACTCTGTACTAATAAGTGTAACCATTAAAGCCTTAGTAAGCTTACAAAAAATCGATTTTAAAATTTCAATTTGTGTATATATATATTTGTGTTGCAAACAGATATGATAAGGTTATCAATAATAGACTTTAAAGTATGGAAATAAGTTACATGGAGCATAAACTGTGGGAGGAATAGAGTGGAATTATGAGAAAAGAAAAAGGAATAATGCTAAAGAAGAGCTTGTTCTGGTGTTTTTAAAATGAATAATGTTGGCTCTTAAATCTCTAGGCTATTTGGGTCAAAATGGATCAATGTAAATGAAACCATTTATAAAGTGTCAATATTTACCACACACTGGAAATTACATCCTTTGCAACTATTTAAACTTATCAGTTAAATACTTCAGATGTCAACTTAAAAATGTAGGGGAGGGGAAGTACATTTTCAAAATTTTTTTAGGCCATGCTGGAGCAAAAAGGACTGAAGACCAATGACCAGGTAGTTTTTGGACAATAGCCAATTTCAGTGGAGTAGTTAACTGCACATGTTCTCAAGCCGGACCATCTGGGTTGAAATTACACCGTCCTTTTCCTATAGTGTTGGACAAGATTGTGTTTTTTTAAATCGAAGTATAATTTACACATAGAAGTGCACATATTTTCACAACCTGAAACATATTCATGTAACCAGTACCATCAGGAAACAGAACACTACCAGTAACCCAGAAGTCCCCCTCATCCTTAGGTGAGTTCCTTAGTCTCTCTCTGCTTCTAATCCCACATCTCTAAAATGGGGATAATAATATCGACACCACAAGGTTGTTGTGAGGATTAGAAGAACTAATATCTGCAGAGCAGTCAGCATGGTACCCAGCACAGGGTGAGTGCTATGGAAATATTGGCTGTTGTTGTGATTCCCAATGGCCACCAAGTCAACACCTCTCTGCTTCCTTTCACTCCAGCCTGGCTAAGAGCCCCATGGTCCAGGGCCTCCTGGGCCCAGCAGAGCCACCTTCATGTCCCCAGCACACAGCTCCTTTGAGAGGGGCTTGGAGAAGACAACAGATGTTGGGGTCATGGCACAATCAAGGACCTAATAACCCTCAGGTAAGTTATACACCCAGCTCAAAGTGAAATGTACAGACTTTATTAGCTGCGAGGCACTCCACTGCCTGCTACAGTCCCAAAGGTCATCACAGAACCATCAGGGGCAGAGCAGCTGAGGGCTGGAGCTCTGTGCCCTGATGTGTCCGCTACAGAGGACACTTTCATCTCCAGCTGAGTCACAGGCCCCAGGCACGAGGTCTGACCAACCGTGGGTGCTGGGCTGTGAGGTGGTGGATAGTTCTGAGCCAGGAGGTGATTGCACCCAACCCAGAGCAAGGTTCTCACACAAAAGATCAGAAACTTCTTCTCTTTTCCTCATTGACCCCTCTGTCCTGTAAGCTACCTCCTCCACTCCCAAGGCTCACCCACCCTCCACCAGGCCCACTGTCTAAACAGAGGAGGCTGGGAAGAGTCCTGAGCCTCTTCACCCGTGCCATCTTGGGTCTCCTGGGTTAGCACTTTATAGCTACTCTAGCAGAATGGTTTTCAGAGGCCCATTTTGGCAGCTGCCTGCTTTCCCCAAATCCTTAACTCTCACCTCATCCACCTTCAATCCCCTCGTGGTGTCTTTTATCTTGCAGTTCAGTGGCTCTAACTCCCTGCAAATCCAGGATCGGAGCCATGTCTCTGGAACTCCAGCTGCTTGGGGACAGAGCTGAGATGTTCAGGGAGGGAGGGGAAGCGGGCACCACAGACGAGTCCCTGTACCTCCAGGGGACAGAGAGGAGAGGCCAGGGGTGGCAGGAACTCCTCAGGCTGCTCCTGTTCCGAGGACAGTGTCAGCGTTTTGTCCATTGCCGTGATGAGGTTAGGCAACCTGGAGGAGGAGTTCCTGTGCTTCGGCCCACATTTGTCCAAGTCACCAGAGCTTTGGGTCTAAGAAGGGCAAGAAAGGGGGAGCCATGCAGTGTGTGGAGCTCCCCTAGGCCACCCTGACTTTAGGGATGGGAAGTGGAAGGAGCTGTGTCCTGCTGCCCTTGCCCCAGCTGTGGGGTCTGCAGTCACAATCTGGGCTTTGCCACCACCCGTCCAGGCTACCGTGTCATGACTCAGACCATAAAGGAGAACAGTAGAAGCCTCAGCTGCTCTCAGACCACAGAGGCCCTGGGCCTGATGCCACACTGAGACCAAGATGGGGGTGGGGGAAGGCCTGCAGCTGCCTCCAGGCAAACCCCTGTGGATCCCCTCACCTGCTCACCTGTGCAGGGGACAGACTGCCCTGGGACAGCCTAGTTTCTGGACTCTGAGTCACTGAGGCCGCAGGAAACAAGGCCAGGTCATTGGAGGCAGGGGCTCCCAGAATGTAGCCAGTGTGGCCTTGGGGCAGTGGCTGCTGAAGGAGCTGAAGGATGCGACTGAGGTCTGAGGACATGCGGGACTCCAGCCTGCCAGACAGAACCCCACAGTCAGGGTCAAGGTCGGGATTGGTGGGAGCAGTTTAGCTCCTGAGGGCAGCTCTCAGTGTTTTGCCTTCATGCTGTTTCTTCTGGATGGAATGGCAGCCCGGGCCCTACCTGAAGCTATTTCCCCACCACAATCCAAAGTCCCCTTAGCACATATTTGTCTCTGATAACAGTGACCAGGCATAGTGCACACATCATTCAGTCCTCATAACGAAGCTTTGACGTGGGTATTCTGATAATCCCCATTTCACGAAAGGGCAAACTGAGGCCCAGAGTGGTTAAGTAACTTGCCTACATTCTTGATGGTAAGTTGCAGAGCCAAAATTTGAACCCAGGACTGTACTGCCCCTAAGCCCTCACTCTGCCACCACAGCCCTGCCATCCACAGGCCATACTCCCTTCCCAAGGGCCCAAGGAATTTGTTTCTGCAAGAGGTTATGCCTCTCCCTCGAGAAGACTTCCTTGGCATATTCTGGGATTTGCTGGGACAAGCCATCCAAAGAATTGTGCTTAGTGACAGGGATGGAAAGGTTTGCAGATAAATGAGATCAGCCGTTCTAAAACTCATGGGATATCCAGTGCCATCCCTGAGCCACCAGGAGGGGGCACCCGTGCCTAGCCCAAGGCTGGGCCTACCCTGCTGTGCCTGTCCCTAGCCTGCAGGGGCACTCACCTGTTCATCTGGGCCTGCAGCTGCTCTAGCCTGGAGCCTAGCTCCCGAGGCCAGCAGTCTGGGTCTCCCTGAGGGTTTGGGGGGCTGTGCCTTGGCCTTGGGGGCACTTGCTGCAACAACTCAGGCCAGAGGCCAGATGCATCTGAGATGCTCAGGGACGGGGCTGCGCCTGCAGTAGGGAAAGGAAAGCCTGAGCTTCAGTTCAGCTGGTTCCACAGGCCTGAGCCCATGCCCCTCCCCATACCTGCAATGGGAACACAGGGCGGGAGGAGGGGATCTCCTTACCTGGGTGACCTGGAGTACGAGGTCCTGCCCCCAGTGTGGTCTGGCTTCCAGGACCCAGAAGGCTGTAGCCCTGAGATGGGGACTGGGGACCCAGCCTGGGGGGGCTGGCTGGGTGGGGCCCTCCAGCCCTGGCCTCACTGTCCAGAGAGCTGCAGCCCAGCAGGTCCCCTGGTGCCTTGATGTGGAGCCCCAGGGGGCTGGCTGGTATCCACCCCTGGGGGCAGCCCTCAGGCTCTGAGGACATAGGGGGAAAAAGGGGGAAGGGCCTCTAGCAAGGAGCCTAGGGAGGGAGCCCCTCTCCACTCAATCAGGGGCTGGGGAGGCCTCTCCCAGGGAAGGACCTGAGAAGGGACAGGAGGCTGGCTGAGGCTTTTGGCTGGGGTGGGACAGACACTGCAGGGCCGGGGCTGGCTTTGCTCACCTGTCTGCTTATCACTGAGGAAGAAGCCTCGGTGGTCCTGGCTGACTGGAGCCTGTTGGGGTGATGACTGGAGACCCCCATCTGCCTTGTGGGGAACAAGAGCATCAAGTAACAGGGACCAAAGCTTGGACAGGGCCTCTTTGTTCTCCCCTGCCCTCCGTACTCCCCCTGCCATGACCCTTGTAACAACTAGATGAGAAAGTGGTAATAGGTGTCTGGGTTCTCCCATGATGCTCCAGGCAGCTTCCTGCAGGCTCTCTCCTGCGTGGGTGGGCAGAACAGGGGCTTGGAGATGTGCAGACTGCCCAAGAGTCTTGGGAGAGGCTGCCTTGAGAGGCAAGATTTGAGGGGGTGGGGGCAGAGGAGCTGTTCTTTCAGTCCTCCCTTTCCTGAGCCCTGGTGGTCCCTCCCTCAGCATGGGCCAATGGGGAGTTTCCTCTGAAGAGACTGGACCTGGAACCCCAATCCCTCAGGGGCCAGCCCAGTGGCGCAGTGGTTAAGTGTGCACGTTCCGCTTTGGCGGCCTGGGGTTTGCTGGTTCAGATCCTGGGTGCGGACATGGCACCACTTGGCAAGCCATGCTGTGGTAAGCGTCCCACATATAAAGTAGAGGAAGATGGGCATGGATGTTAGCTCAGGGCCAGCCTTCCTCAGCAAAAAGAGGAGAATTGGCAGCAGTTAGCTCAGGGCTAATCTTCCTCAAAAAGAAAAAAAAAAAGGAGGTGCCCTCAGCAGTGCTCTTGGTGGCCCACCCTCCTGGCACCATGAGACTTGGGGGCACCTGGGGGCTGAAGATGCCCCAGGCCATGGAGACCATATCCCTCTTGGCCTGGTGTCCAGTCACTGAGCACTCAGGCCACCTGATGGCACCTAGCAGCTGGGACCCGCAGGACAGTGTTCTTACAAGATGTCTTCTGGACAGATGAGGTGGGAAGGGAAGAGACTGAGGGAGAGGGAGAATGGCAGAGGGCACAGGGTGGGGAGGGCTGTCCATAGCATGGAAACCTGCTTCAGCACCACCCTCCAGAAGCTGGGGTGGGGCCTGGGCCAGCAGAGACCCTCCTTCTGAGGCTTGGGGAAGGTTATGGTATGGGGGCACTCAGGGCCAGGGTGTTAGCCACTTTGCCACTGCCAGGCGCCTGCCCACTCCTTCCCACCGGCTGATTCCAGACCCCCTCCTCCATGCAGCCCCTTCTGGGTACTTCCAGTCCGTACTGGCCATCCCACTCCTTGGCAACACTGGGCTCCACAGAAATTTGGTCCCCCCACACCCCCTTGTGACTTCCTTGGTTATTTAACTGTGTGGCTCTTTATTTTTCCTGAGTTGCTGTAACCTCCACCACTGAGTGATAAGCTTGAGAGAAGAGACACCTCTATCACTTCTTTATACCTCTGAGATCTGGATGGCAGAACCCTCCCTTTCAGCTTGATAGGATGTGGTGGGAAAAGCCTGGGCTATGGATTTGCCCAAACTTCAGTCCACATTTGGCTCTGCCCTTGACTGTACAGCTTACTGTATGGCTGTATGGCTTTGGTCAATTTATCTTCTCTGACCCTCAGTTTCCTCATCTGGAAAATGGGGATAATAACACCATTTGCAGGGGGAAGACTAAATGAGATAATGTAAAAGAAGTCTAGTGCTTAGCATGAGTTGTTGCTTAATAAAAGGTAGCTCTCACCATACATAGCATTATGTTGGCCATGGTAGGCACAGAAGAAATTATAGTAAAGGGTGCAGGATGGGGTTGAAAGGAAGGGAGGTGGTCAGACGGGTCCCCTCAGGTCAGGCAGGCCAAGCCCCCAGCAGCTGGCCAAGGGCCACCACCCACCCTAACCCACCCAGCCCAGACTCACGTCCCGCAGGTTGAAGGTGACTTCCAGCTTACTCCAGAAGCTGTCTGCGAAGGTGGGGTACATGTCCAGCACCTCCAGCAGGTCTGCCCGCTGGATCTTGTGCAGGTCGCAGTAAGTCAGGGCCCGCACGTCTGCACTGGACTTTCCTGGCCGGGCATGGAGGCTAACAGGCTCCCCAAAGATGTCGTTCTTTCCTGCCAGCCAGAGGGGTGGGAGTCTCTCCAGGGTCTGGCTGCAAGCTCTCTTCTGGGGAGCCTCCATGATGGCTCCTTGAGCATGACCTCCCCACCACCTCAGAGATCCTGCCAGGCTGGCGCCTGATGCTCAGGGACAAGGCTAGATGTGCTGGCTGAGGCGGGGAGGGGGTGGGGTGGGAAACCTGCCCTTCCCTGGTTCTCTGAGTCTGCAGAGACCCCCCTCCCTCCCAGCATGTGGGTCCTCCATGGCCCCACAGGACCAGCCTCTATCAGAATCCCCCCTCCTATTTGCCATGTGCTTTGGCACTGCCCCTACCTCCCCAACCCCCCGCCAGGGGACAGTGGGCAGTAAGAGACACTAAAGGCTCCCAGCTCAGCCTCTTCCTCTCTCCTTAGCCTGCTGCAGTGCGTGAGTAAGAGTTCAGGGAACCCAGGGCCAGGAGCACCCAGGTCCCCCAGGGCAGAGCCTGAGGTGTGTCTCTTTGTGTTCTAACTCCCCATTGTGGGGCCAGGTACCAGGGTGGCCCTGGCAGAGAAAGCCTGGGGAAGTCATATTCCTTCTCCGGACCCCAGTGTTTCCATCTCTAAAATGGGTATAACCATATCTGCCTTGCCTACCCCACTGGGCTGTCCAGGGGAGCAGACACAATGCTTGAAGAAGTGCCTCGAAAAGCAAGAGGCACCAGACAGGTTGATGCAAGGGATTGGAAGGGGTGGATGTCACAGGGGAACATGGGCTGTGTACTCGGGGCACGTGGTGAGGGTATTGGGCCCTCCTGGTGCCAGGCACTGTGCTGGCCACAGAGTGTAAACATGAATAAGATGCTGTCCCGCCCACAAGGAGCCCCCAAAGTCCCCGCAAGACAGGCACATACGTAACCAACTAGTTTACAGAACGAGTTACAGAGCCTTAGAACAAGGGAGAACCAAGAGCTATGGGGCCATGGAGAAGGGAGGGGCTTATTCCACCAGGGGGAGTTGAGGGCAGGGAGGAGGGGGGCTTACGGAGGAAGTGAAGTGGGAGCTAGGTGGTGAGAGTTGAGGAGGACGGGGCCTCTAGGGGAAAGGCAATCTAGACAGAAGAAACAGTGTGTGGTCAGTGCTACATGGTCAGGTCAGGGCTGGGGGGCGGAGAGCCCAGGGCAGGAGTGCCAGGGACCATGACTGTTCTGACATCTACTCCCCACAGGAAAGTCCAGCCCCCTCAGCCTAATGACACCACACAAGGGGTGCTAATGGTTTGCACAGAGAGTGATGGATGGAGGCCAGGACATGTCCCCCAAGAGAACAGGATCACATGTCATTCACAGAGGAGGGGACCGAGGCCTAGAGAGGGAAGAGACTTGCTAGGATCACACATAAAACCCAGAAGCTCGAAACCTGGGCAACATTATAAAGTGATGGTTTTCTAGTAGATGAAGCATTATGATCTAAGGTCCAGTTCCACTCAGGACAAAATGAGAGGATTTCATGTCTCTAACTGAAACTTAAATTGGACTGGCTTCTTAATTATTAATAATGATTATTATCCTTCTCACGTGGATGGCACTTCTAAGATAGGCTGGGAATGAGAGAAGGTCTCATAGAGGAGCCTATGCTTGAGCTCAGCCTTGAAAGATGACAGGGGTCTGCCAGGCAGGGGTGCAAAGTAGGTGCTCCAAGCAGAGTGGCAGCATGTGCAAAGGCACAGAAGTGTGGCAGAGACCAGCAGGTTTAGAGAACTATAAGTAGTTTGTGCGGCTGGAGCATGAAATACCAGGAGGAGGGTGGCAGGACTTAGGGTGGCCAGACTTAGGAGGACTGTGCATGTCACGCACACGGGCTTACATTTGTCTCATGGGTCATGGGGAACCATGAAAGGATTTTGAGGAGAAGAGGAGTATGCACAGATGTGAATTTCAGGTCACTGGCAGAAGGTGGAAGATGAAGTATGGAAGTAGGCCAGACGCAGGGACATGGGAAAGGAGCTCCTGACACCTGCGTAGGAAGGACACGATGAGGGCTGGACCAAGGCAGAGACAAGGAGACAGGTGTGGGAGACAGAGGGATTAACAAGGGGAACAGACAGGGCTCTGTGCCTGCCTGGATGGTGGTAGGGGGAGAGGAAGGGAGAATGATGTTCCCTTGGTTGACTTCCAGGTCTCTGGCCTGGGCAATGGATGGTTCACAGTGATGGGGATGCCAAAGGAGCTGCTTTTGAGGGAAGATGATTTCAGATTGAAATATGTTGTTTGGTCTGGCTATGGAATATAAGGATGGCCATGCCCGGGAAGGAATAGAATATTTCAGTCTAAGGAGAGATTGGAGTTGGCACAACACTCTGGGGGTCCTTGTGGCATAAGTGAGGCTGACATCGTGGGGGCAAGGAACTGGCTCAGTTGAGGGTGTAGGGTGAGGAGAAGAGAACAGAGCACCACATTTGGTGACACCGGCTGAGGGCGGGCAAGAGGGGAGGACAGGGCAGAGGAGTCTGAGGGGCCCTGTCTAGAGCAGTTGGAGGAAAGCCTGGCCTTGGAGACCAAGGGAAGACGACGCTGACGTCCTGGTCAGGAACTTGGGATGGGCTAAAGTCAGGGGGAAGGCAAAGAAGATGAGAATCATCTCAGAGAGGTGAAGTGACCAGGTCACATGGCTGGTAAGTGACAGAGGCTGCGTGTGCCCCAAATCTGTCCCCTGCCCAGCGCTCACATCCCTTCTCCAAAGTGTCCACTTGTCCCTGTAGCTGCACTGAATGAGACCCGGAAGCCCCCTCCACCCGAGACAAACCCTCGGAATCTCACCCTGAGCTCCTCAGGAGTGGAAGAAGCTAGGAGCCTGCCTGAACTTCTGAGTCAGACACTAGCCCGGGAATCCCTGCTGGGCCACTTGCCAGCATGACCTCTGTAAGCCTCAACTTCCCTATCCGGAAAATGGGACCTATGGCAGAGGTTTGTTCTAAGGATTGCGTGAGCTGGGTATGAAGCTGTCCGCGGCACATGGCAGGTCAGTAAAAGGTGCCACCATCAATCATTAGGAATGGAGTGGTCCAGGCAGGACATCTCTAGTCCCACCGCACCCACCCACACGGGCTTGGCTCTCCCCGGCGGACCCACCTAGGATAGCCACGACCATGTCGTCGCGCAAGATCTCGATGGAGCCCCGGGAGATGAAGTAGAGCGTGGAGAGCACGTCCCCGAGGTGTACCAGCGTGTCCCCTGGAGGAGCGTGCGTCGTCTTGAACTTGACGGCGAGCGCGCGCAGGCAGCCCTTGCTGGCGCCGCGGAATGCCGGGCAGTGCTGCAGCAACGCGCGGTGCAGGTGCAGGCAGATATCGGCCTGCAGGCACTCGGGGAAGCCCTTCAGCACCTGCGAGGCAAGCGGCCGCATCCATCGGGGCACGATCGGAGGTGGGGCTGGGGGAGCAAGTGGGAAGGGCTCTGGGGACGCCCTGCCCCGCGGGACCTTGGCCTTCCCCGGGGCGTTAGCCAGAGCTGGGACTTCAGCTGGGTCGCACACCCTACCCCGGGCAGGGTGGCGGGGGCTCACCGCGTTCATGTCGATGCCATTAGTGTAGGACCAGGCGTGCTGGAAGTACTCTTCGAGGCGCTGTCGCAGCGGGTTTGGGATCTGGTGGAATCGGATGAATTCCTTGACACGCAGCATCTGCGTGTGGTAGCGCGCGGTGCCGGAGTACAGGCGCTGGATGATGGCGGACACGTTGCCGAAGATGCTGGCGTACATGAGGGCTGGGGCGGGGGAGCAGAGGTGCGGAGAGTGAGCTCCTCCACATCCTCACCAGGCCTGCTCCAGGCCTCCCTCTCCCTGGGAGCCCCCTGGTCAAGGACCCCTCTGTCTGGGGCAAAGTCAGAAGCGCCCAGGACAGCACCAGGGTACATGGGAGAAAAAGGTCCCTGGGCTTCCTGCCTTCCTCCCTCTGCCCTGTGCCTCTTGGCATCCTCCGGGACCCAGAGGCCAAACTCCTGAGAAGAAAGAACTAGGGCAATGGATTTTTTTAGTTCAGATTTGTTTTCCCCTTCAAGTTGTGAAAATATAATAAAGGGAAAACTCTTGGTCTCTTGTTTTCACCCATTTTTTTCCTGTTGTTTTTGTTTTTCTGGGCTTTCACATCTCTAAATACTCTGAACATGACAGTCGACGTGTAAAATCCACACTGCCTCTTATGTTCCTAGAACAGGTGTCTCGGGAGGCAGGCAGCAAGTGCAGGGCCTGAGAGCACAGAGAGCCCCGGGAGCCAGACCCCTGGGATGGAACTGGATCTCTGTGTGTAATCCCCGGCAAGTGAGGACCTTCAGTTTCTTAGTCTGTAAACTGGGCTCATAGAATGGCCTTTATGGGGTAGTGATGGAAATGAAATATGGGCCTCTGATAAGCACTTAGAAAAGTGTCTGGCAGGGCCGGCTTCATGGGTGTGTGACTTGTGCTAAGAAGGGCCCTGAGCTTGGTTTAATGCTCTATTGTTACCATCTTGAAATTCTTAATATGTTTTTAACAAAGGGCTCCACGTTTTTGTTTTGCTCTGGGCCATGCAAATGATGTAGCTGGTCCTGGTGCCTGGCACATAGCCAGGGCTGTGTCGGTGTTAAATTCTGTGTATAGTTGGTGTACACATGCAAAACTGGCTTGTGCTGCATGCATAGGATCCTCCTATCACACAAATTGTTACTGGGTAGGTTATGTCTCATTACAAAACTAACAATCGAATTCCCTGGGTAAGGCCCAAGACATGAGGTGGCACTCACAGCCGATGAGCATGACGCAGATAGAGAAGACCTTCTCAGAGTTGGTGTTGGGTGAGACATTGCCGAAGCCCACGCTGGTGAGGCTGCTGAAGGTGAAGTAGAGGGCCGTGACATACTTGTCCTGCACCGAGGGGCCTGAGGCTGGGTCGCTGCCGTTGTAGCGCTTGCCAAGCTGCACACCCAGGCTGTCCAGCCAGCCGATCTTGGGCTCCAGGTAGGGCCGCTCCACGTTGCCGATGGCGTACCAGATGCAGGCCAGCCAGTGCGCGATGAGTGCAAAGGTGCACATGAGCAGGAAGAGCACAGCTGCCCCATACTCAGAGTAGCGGTCCAGCTTCCGGGCTACCCGCACCAGCCGCAGCAGCCGTGCCGTCTTCAGCAGCCCGATCAGGGTTGTCGTCTAGAGAAGCAGGGAGGAGGCCACAGGGCTGGGGGTCAGCCCTTGAAAGGCTGTGCTCAGGACCACATTTATCTACTTCTGCATATGGTCACACAGTCATTCAACAGACACTTGTGGAAAACCTGCTCTGAGCCAGGCTCTTGGCAGTGGGGCGCAGTGTAGGACCTTAAGGAGCTCTCAGCTTAAAGCTCAAAACAGTGTTATGGTTGCTGGCATAGAAGTCCAGGGGGAGCATGGAGGAAGGGGAGGTCAAGAGTGCAGGGACAGGGCAGAGGAGGCGTCATAGAGGAGGTGACACATGAGCTGAGTCTTTAGAGACAAGGCAGGGTCTCCAGGCAGACAAGAGGGAGAGGGAAACCACCTGTGGTGCTGCAGACTGGGCACAGAGTAGAAGGTAGTGGAGCAGTGAGAAATGAGCCTGAAGGCAGGCAGGCTCCTGTGGGCCGCAGGGACCATGAAGAGCTTGGCTTTTATTCCAAGCCATTGGGGAGCCACTGAAGGTTCTGAGGACAGGGGCAGATAAGTGGTTCTCTGTGAAGGGGGTGAGGCTGGCAGGTGTGGGGCTTGGGCAGAGGTGGGTAAGAAGGCCACTCAGTGCCCAGGCAGGGGCAGTGGGAGTGGAGAGGGGGAAAGGACTTGGGGATAGATTTGCTGGGAGTGGGTGGGCATGGGAGCAGGGAGTCAGGATGGACACTCCCTGCTGTACAGGCTGGGGTGACTGAGGGTGACTGGAAGACGGAAGGCAGAGCTGATTTGAGTGGAAAGCTGATCCCAAGGGGGTGGAACAAAAGGACATAGCGGGACTAGAAGCTATGAGAAGAGCATGAAAATGCCCTCACATCAGCCATGGGAAGCTGAGTGGGCACAGTGGAGGGGCTGGGTGGGGGAAAGGGGGACAGACTGCACTGAGTCCCTTGTAGATTCCCTTTCTTTTTTTCCCAAAGATTGGCACCTGAGCTAACAACTGTTGCCAATCTTTTTTTTTTTTTTTACTATTGCTTTTTCTCCCCAAATACCCCCAGTACATAGTTGTATATTTTAGTTGTGGGTCCTTCCAGTTGTGGCATGTGGTATTCCACCTCAGCATGGCCTGATGAGCAGTGCCATGTCCATGCTCAGGATCCGAACCACCAAAATCCTGGGCTGCCAAAGCACAGTGCGTGAACTTAACCACGGCCATGGGACCAGCCCCTAGATTCCCTTTCTAAGTCTAGGGTAAGTGTGGTTTAGAAATCAGCATGAGGAGCTGAGACCACAGAAGTGCCCATCCCAGAAGGGGCAGAATTCTGGAGCACAGAGAGGGCACCCAGGCCTGGGGCATGGCCTCAGCTGCTCCTTCTCCAGGGCTGGGAGATGACCTCCACTTGCTTTGGCAAAGGTGCCCAATGCCAAGTACTCTCTGCACCCAGAGCTGTGGGGCACAGGGGATGGCCGCAACAACTGGCCTGAATGGGGCTTGCTCACCTCATCAGAGCCAGTGTGGAAGATGAGCAGGTCAAAGGGAATGGCGGCCACCATGTCAATGAGGAACCAGCCCTTGAAGTAGTGGACGGCAATGCGGCGGGGGTGGCTGACCACTTCATCGTTGGTATTGACATAGGTGGTGCGGAAGTTGATGACAATGTCCACAACAAACATGATGTCCACAATGAGATCCACCACAGTGAGTGGACTGCAGGTGTAGCCGCAGTCCCCACGCTGAGACTCGTCCTGGTCACTGAGCAGAAAGGCAGCCGAGTAGGGTGTGAAGACGGCTGTGTAGATGACCAGCAGCAGGATGAGCCAGTCCCACACGGCCTTGAAGGGGCTGTAGTGCAGGAGGGTCCCACGGTGGATGCGTGGCGCCTGCAGCTTGTACTCCGGCAGCACATCTGCACCAAGGGACAGGACCTGGGGGTGGGGGCCATAGGCTGGTCAGCAGGGCGGCCACCACTGGTGAGATGGGTCTGGGTGGGGTGAGGTCATAGGGGTGAAGCTTGGGAAGGGAGCTGTGGGAGAGGGTGGGTGACAAGGGCTGTGGAGGGCAGAGGGCAGGAGGCAAAGATGGGGTGAGGCATGTGTAAGGAGGCAAGTTCACAAGGTGACAGGTATATTGGGAGGAAGTGCAGAGAGAAGGTGGGGTGCAGCTCTGTCCACAGTGACCCCCGGTTTGAAGCTCACAAATTCCCTCTGAAACAGACCAGCCTGGAGTAGGTGGAGACAGGGCTGAGAGAGAGGGGAGGGCAGAGGAAAGCCAGGCTCAGGGTCATTGTGGGCATGTTCCAGGGAAGAGCCCAGATTGATGGGGTAGCTGGGGGGCGAGTCAATCCTCTCTGGTGGGTTTGGGAGGTTCTCAGTGGTCAGGTTCCTGATGGGAACAGGTTACCCCCAGAATAGCCTCTTCATTCAGGAGGGCCCTGTGGAGCATAGACCAGTGAGGACCCTCCTGGGGCCAACTTTCAGAGCCTTCCATGGAAAAAGTCAAATTTGGGAGTGTGTAGCTGATCTGGGCCCTCAAAAGGTCCTGGGCACCAGGGAGCCTCGACTGCTTCAATCATGTTCAAGGGGGTTTTGATCATTACATTCAGCTGAGCCCCCTCCACTCTGCCCCTCCCACCCCTCCCTCCAAGACTATGGCCAACATAGGATCACCAGGGTCCAGCCCAACATGCCCAGGCTCTGCTCAGTTGCCCAACACAAGAAAGAGCCAGGGCATCAGGAAAGGCATTCTTTTTGAGGCCAGACCTCCCAGGTTGATCCCAGGTCTGACATTGCTATATGTCTGTCTCAGGGCAAGTTTTGTAACCAATGAGCCTCAGTTCCCTCACTGGCAGAATGGGATCACAAAGGATGACAAATTCCGTGGAGTTGTTGTGATTAAATGAGATGGTGCATCTTGATGGCACATTCTGCCCTACATGATAATTCCTCCTCCCTGCTCATCCTCTATCAGACACTGCCCCAACAAGGATGGAGCCTGAAAGGTGTCCCATTGACCACACCACCACTCCAGATGGTCCCAGTTTAAGAAAATCTGCAATGTAAAGTTCTGACCTTGCAAACCAGATCCATTAACAGACGGGGTCACAATAAGGAAGATCCACCAAAGGGCTGGTGTAAACCATAGGGTCCCTGATCTGCCATCCAAACCCCTAAGAGGGACTGCAATGTCCCCACCCTGCAGTGACCTCCTGCTCAGCCTTCAGGCCTCAGTCCCTATTTTGCCTCCCCAGGAAGCCTCCTCTGACCCCGCAAAGACTTGGACCGTCTTTTTTTATTTTCTCCATGCCCCTTGTAAACACCCCTAATCACATGGTTATTCTCCACTGAACTCTAAGCTGCAGCTCCCTCATCCAACATGCCCATCTTGTATGCCCAGCACTTAGTCCCCGTGGGGACCGAATGAGCTCTGAAAACTGGAGCCGTCACAGCCACTGCCCCTCCTTCCTGGGCTGCTCAAAATGAAATTGCAAAGCTTGGGGAGTGGGAGGGAAGCAGCAGGAATTTGAGAGGGTAAGGTGAGAGTGTCTACTTCCTCAGGGCCCCAGATAGGGGCACCATCTCCCCCACCACACAAACCTCTATAGTCTCCCACCACCTCCAAAGCCAGCATGGGGGCCTTTCCCTGGCAAAGCCAGCCCTTCCTAGTGTCACCTGGAGCTGCAGGGCCCTCAGGATGTAGGAACTCAGGGGTGGGATCACACCTTCAGGTCCTTTAAGTTCTGGTTGAGACTAGTGTGACTTCCCTGCTCTGGGCCCATGCCAGCCCCTCCCCTGAGCCCTGTCAGGCACTTCCATCACCTTAGGGCCCACATGGAGTGGGCTAATAAAGCCAAGAGGGGCTGGGACAGGGAGCAGGACAGGAGAAGGCAGGTTGGGTATGGGTAGGGACCACCACTCTCCAATTCAATGCCCCCATCACCACTGCTGCCAACCTGAGGGCCCTGGGGTGAGCAGCTAGGTGGGCTTCCCAGAGTCAGGCCATTGGGCCACCTCCCTGACCTCTGAGGGCCCATCCCTGTAGCCTGGGGTCCTTCCTTCCCCATGGTTCTTGAGCTCCGTGTGGGGCTGAGTCACAGGGAGTTTCCACCCCATCTGCTCCAGCACAGACTGTGCTTCAGGTGCAAAAGGGGCAGGGAAGAAGAAGAGCTGCTCCCCATTCCCACCGCAGGGCTGTTTGCATTTCCCTCTAGAATGGTCACGTGGGGACCAGGACATCAGGCCCCATGAGAAGAGATGGTTTGGATCCAGGGAGCTTTCCTTTGGGCTGGCTGAGAAGGAGCTGAGGGAGAGGAAGGCATTCAGAGCCTGATCCCCAGAAAGCTGCTCAGACAATGCTGAAGATGTCAGCACTGCCTCCCCTCTGCCTAGATTGCAGGAGGATCCTGTTGTGTGTTTATGTTTGTGTAGAGGGGGATAACTGTCACCTCAATGGTAAGGGGCAAGAGCAGGGCTGGGGGCCTCTGGCCATCCCTCTTCTCAATATGGCCCTGACACCTCCTCTCTCTGCTTCTCCTTTTCTGTGGCTGGCAGAGCCTTGGGTAGGCCCCCTTGGTGGCCTGCATGTTCCCTCACTCCCAGGCCTAGGAGGTGGCACTATTCACAGGCTCTGTTGACCCCAATCTCCGCTGGCTCCAGGAGCTGGGCATCAGGGTGGTGGACTCAGGGTAGGTCTTCAGGTCTAAAGAATCAGACTCAAGCAGGACAGGAGGCCTGGGGCTCAGACCAGATACTAGGAGGCTCTCTCTGCTTGTCCAGGCCCCAGAGGAGCCCAGGCCCAGGGCCTGAGAAGGGATCCTCAAGGCCCGGCACAGCCCCATCCGCCCTGCCCTGCAGGCCGCACCTGGGTGACCTTCTCGGTGACATTCTGGGTCCGCTCTACCACCTTGTGGGGTGCGATGATCTCAATCTCCGTGGTGGAGCCCGAGCGGTGCTTCTCCAGGTTGAACTCCACAAAGTTGAGCGTGAACTGCGGGATCTGGCTGACGGTCCTGTACTTGACCCTGCCCGCACCAGGCCCCTGTGCACCCGGCCTGCCATGAGAGCCCTCTGAAACCAGGGCCAGGGTCAGAGCAGCCAGGGCCAAGGGACCAGCTGCTCCATTTGGTGCCCCCACTCGCCCCTTCCACCACCATCTGCACCCCTCCTCACCAGAGCCCAGGAAGCTCTGGGACAGCAGGCGCTGGGACAGGCTGCGGCTCCCTCTCTTGGCCAGGAGCTGGGCCAGGTCCTCAAAGTTGAGGATGAACATGATGACAGCCCCGTCCTCATTCTTTATGGGCACCACATCCACCAGGCAGCGGAAGCTGGAGGCTGCAAACAGCATTGGGAGGTCACTGAAGGAGTCCTCTCCTGCAGGAAACTGGCCAGGGGAAGCTAGGGAGGGGGCTGGGTTAAGGTCAAGTTAAGGGCGGTCACTGGGGTGAGGAGGCCTGGACAGTGACCAGAGCTATTGGGCAGAGGGTTGGTGACATTGCCCAGCAGGTGCCCCACCCACAGGGCAGAGGTGGGGAGAGCAGCTAAGCTGCTCATTAGGAGATAATGTAGCATCGGGCCCAAGTCCACGCTCGGCCCTCAGCTCAGGGCTTAACCTTGAGGCTTGCTTCTGCTGTAATTAAAGCTGAGCAGATGGGGGTGGATTAAGTGGGAGGTGAGGTCGGGCATTCTACCCCCTTGTAGCTCTGGTTGGCCTTGGGTTCAGTTCCCATATTCCCATCCCACAAAGATGCCCTGCTCCCCTGATGCTGGAAGGAACTCATTGTTGAGAACACACTAAGTGCCCAGAACTGAGCCAGTGGGCACATGAGGCCTCAAGCTCCATGGTGGAGCCCAGTGGATCCTTATGGGGAGGCACAGACCCATTTTGCCGATGAGAGCTTGGGGTTCTGAGCAAGTGACTGCTGGGGCTGGGAGGGGACATGGAGTCCTTGGGCTCTCCATGCACAACTGCTTGGAAAGGAGAAGGTGCTTGTCTGGGGTGAGGATGCTGGAGTGAAGGCCCATCTGCTGCTCCAGGCCTGGAAGGGGAGGGTACTGAGCAGAGGTACTGGGACTGGGAAGAGGGCAAGTAGTGGCCTGGGGTCTGGAGAGGGAGAGAGACAGCAGTATGGGGGCAGGACAGGCCCCTCCTGCCACTCTCCCCACCTCTCAGGCAGCCTGGACCTAGCCATTGGGCCCATTGTTCCTCTCTCTGGCTCAAGGGTCTCACCGCCCCCCCCCCTGCCCCCACCATGTTTGTTTGTGGGGGGAACAAAACAAGCTAAATCTGTGCATCCCCCCAGGGCCCAGTCTGTTGGTGTTCGCCCAAAAAGCAGGATCCTAAGGGGCAGGGCTTTAGGTAAACATGCAGATCAGAAGCAGAGCTGCCCTCCCTATGGGCACGTTTGTGTCTGTCTCATTTGTCTGTCCTGGGTGTTGTTTGTTGATTGAATGCATGAAAGAATGTGAGATGGTGGGAGACTGGCTGGCAGAGGTATTGCTACTTTGGGGTCACTCTTGCCCTGACTCTCCATTCACTGTTCACTTCCCTTTGCACCTCCTCACACCATCAGCACTGGGGTGCAGCTGGGCCACCCCCATCCTCCCTCCCACTTTCCTCCCTGCCAACAGGAATCTCCTGGATCAGATTCCCGGACTCCCAGGCACCAGGCAGCCATCTGCCAGCTGCTGCACTGGGCCCCGGGGGAGACATCCACACCAAGGCGAGGCCACCCACCTGCTTCTGTGACCCACTCCTGGGCCCACAGTGCTATAAGCCTGCCTCCCAGGCCAGAGCCTGGCACTCTTGCCAGTCAGTGGCACGGCAAGGGTTGAACACTGGGACCTAGCAGGGAAGCTTCCTGGGCCAGAGGCCTGAGACACTGTCCCCAAGGCCAGGCCATCTCCTTGTTCTCTCTGGCACTGCAGAGATCTGGTCTGGCGGGGGCAGGGAAAGGGCAGAGCTGGGCAGAGGGGCAGGGCCTCCAGGCTCTCTATGCTGCTGCCAAGGCCCAGTCTTCAGGTGGCTGTACCCAACCACTGATGCTGTCTCTGGAAAACTGAGGCTGGGAACAGACTGAAGACCAGCCCATCATAGCAGTGAGGGCTGGAGGGGGGCTGTGTGTGTCATGCTTGCTGCCTTTGGGGTGGGTAGAGATGGGAGGCTATGAGGGTTTGGACAGGTTCCCCAGGCTGTCCTTGCTCACGAGTAATTGTGTCTGGGTGATCGGAAGTGGGTGGTGTGTCACTGAGGTTATGCCCAGGAGGGGCAGTGTTCCTGTGACGTTGCCCCATCCTTGGAGGGGGAGCCACAATTTCTGCCTCATGCTCCCTTCCAGGGGCTCCTCCCGGCACCCCCTCTCTGACCAAGGCCAGCAGGTTTGTCCCTTGGGACACCACACTTCTCTCTGCTGGTCTCTGCCTCTGGGATGTGCTCCTTCCTTTAGTTTCTCATTGCTCCCATCTCTTTATGCACACCCCATCAGGCACCATAGGGAGCCCTCAGGGAGGAGCTGGTGTTACAAAAAGCTGCCACTAAGAGGGTGGCTGCTCCATACCGCCTCCCGGCTTGGTGTTTCTGGCATTCATGAGTGAGTTTGCAGAAAACCATGGGGCCCCTGACCTCAGCTCTTGCCCTGTCCTGCTTATCTGGAGCTAAGGACTGGAGGAGCCCTAGGCTCCCTCTAGTCTGGCTTGAGGATTAGGGGACTCTCTGGTTTGGGGTCATCAGAAAGGAGAAGCCAGCAAAGGCAGGCATGTCTGGGCCCCCTGGTGGGTTCTCAGTGGAGGCGGCGGTAGGGTGGGGGAGGTCTGAGTGCTCTCCACCCCTCCCTCTAGACTCTCATTGGTTCTAATCTTGTGGCCATCACCATTCCTCCTATCTTTTAGGTTCTTATTTCTCCTAATAAAGGCAGATGGAGGAAGAGCCAGTTTCTCAAGGATCTGTGAGCCCTGACTCGTGGGGTAATTTTTGCCAAGTGTCTTGGCCTCTTTGATCCCAACTTTCCACAGCTGCACAGTGTGGAGATACAGGGACGCAGACCTTCCACTTTGACTTGGAGTCAGTGGATTACCCCTTTAGAGGAAAAAGGATTATAAATCAGCTGGAGTTCTGTTCAGGACTCATTCCCACCTCCCTGGAGTCAGGGGGAGTGGGGAAGAGGAGGTATTGACCTGAGGAGGGAAGAAATCACATTAGGATGCCTCTCAGCAGGACTATAAGACATATGTAAATATGATTAAAAAAATAATAATAATGTGGTCAGAGTGGACCACAAGGTGAACATAAGTTATCTGAGTACCACATTCTTCCCTTAAGGTAATGTAGGCCAGGAAGCTCCCTTTTCAGGCCAATTTCAGGCAGCTCCAGGGGGTCAAAAAGCCTTGGACTTATATGACAGAGAAGAGCTTAGGGTAGGGGTGGTAGTAGACTAGAATTTATGGGGCACCAGGTAAGTGGATAATCTTCCATTTTCACCCAGGGCTGGCCTCCAAGATTAGGTCCTTAGGATCCCTTCTGATAACTAGAGGATTCCATCAGGGTTCTGAAGACCTGTGTCCTGATTTCAGAGGATCAAGGCCTGACCTTGACCTCTGCCCCCTGCCCATGTACATGCAGGGTGGTGAGGAGACCTGAAAGTGTGATCTGATATCTCTAGGAGTCTGGAATCAACCCTCACCACTCTGGGGCCCAGGTAGAGCTCTGGGGTCAAGAAGAGGGAAAGAGAAGGACATTTCCTGCTGTCCCATTCTGTTCCCCCAGGACCCTTCTCAATCCCCTGACTGTCACCTCCCTGAAATGACATGAGGAAGTGAGGTCACAGGTTTTAAAAATATTCTGACTTCGTTAACCCTGTGAGTGATGTCAAACTAAGGCAGATTCTCCCTAGTTCCCTAAACACCACCCCTACATTCACATGGGTGGCAGCAGCAGGCAACAGCCAGAGGGACAGCCAGGACCTGCCCAAGAAACACCCTGGAAGCCCTTAAACACATACCCACACGCACACACATGCTCACATTCACACTTAGCAGTCATGCTCCAAGCACACACCAGGCCCCTGGAACCGGGGCTCTCAGCACTCCTCAGACCCAACCCAAAGGTGCCTGCCCTTTATCTGCACTCAGATGGCCCTCATGCCTGTCATCCCTGGTGAGGGCCCTCCTCCAGGGCTTCCTTCCCCCCAAATCCAACCTCCGAGCACAGGGGCAGTTGGGGTCCTTTCTCCCCTCTTGGGATTACTCAGATCAGATTTCTCTGAGGGAAGAATCCAGAGACTTGGGGTCCAGTCCCAGGTTGGACCCCAGCAGTAGGATCTCGAGCAAGTCCCTTCTTTTTCTTGGACCTCAGTTTCTTCAACCATGAAATGAAAGGATGTATCTAAGCCAGTGGTTCCTAAACTTGGGAGAACATCGGAACTGCCAGGGACATTTTTCCAAATACACCTGCTTGGGTCTCACCTCACACCTCTGAGTCAAAGTTTCTCTAGGGAAGGTGTGTTTTGGAAAACATGCCCCAGGTAATTCTGATGCAGAACCAGATTAGGGGGCCATTGATCCAGGGGTTTTAAAAGAGACTTTTAGGATCCTAGTTCCCATCCATCTCTCCCCTCCCCTTGACAGGTCCAGTGGAGACTCTGAGGTCCTGCGGGGAGGGTCTCAAAGAGCTGTAGAACTCTTTATCCTCAGCCCCTGCCCTATGTTTCTGTTCTGCTTGCAGTAAACTTGGGCCAGCAGTAATACCCCAAACTGGATGAGCCTCCAGGTCAGGGCAAACTCCAGACCCTATCTCCCCAAGAAGCTGGGGCTGGGTGAGCCAGGCCCACCCCTCTTTCCCAGCCAGCAGCCCCCATGCCTTGCCTGGCCACAGAGGCCTTGAGGGGGTGACTCCTCCCCTAATCCCCATAGCAGACGGAGATGAGGAAAGGTTAATTTCCGTCCCAGCTGCCTGACAGCTGGGGCTGACAGTGACAGAGTGGACAGCCAGGAGACAGGGGACATGGGGGAGGGATGGTGGAGCAGGAGGCCTGCCAAGGGCCAGGACCAATCCATGGCTCAGCCTGGTCCCCAGCCTCTAAAAAGGACCTCAGAAGGCATTGCATCTGATGTCCATCACTTCCCCCTACAGATGAGGAAACTGAGGCCCAGACAGGAGACACGATTTATCTAGGCCCTTTGTTCCCTGGGTCAGTGCCCTCCCCATGACCACTCAGCTGGACAAGAGAGGGGCCAAGCCTGCCCTGCAGAACCAGTGGCCCAAGGGCACCTCACCATCCTTGCGGTAGTAGAGGATGTCCACCTTGCACTCCTCGGCCCCCAGCAGGGCCTGCGCCAGGCGGGACATGGCACTGCGCGGGGTGTTTGGGCCTGTGAGGAAGTCGCAGGTGCACGGTCGCTGCATCACCTCCACTCGGGAGTAGCCGAAGAGTTCACAGAAGCCATCGTTGCAGTAAATGATGGCGCAGTTCTCCATCTGAGCATTGGCAATCAGGAACTTACGACCTGGGGTGGGAGGTGGGAGGTGGGAAGCCCATGGCAACCAGGATTGGGTGGCAGGGAGGGAAAAAGCATAGGGACTCCTGGCAGCAGTGAGGGTGGAACTAGATGAGGGAGCAGAGCAGTGACCAGAATGAGGGAGGGGGGAGGTCAGGTCTGGGGAGGGTGGGAAGACCAAGGAGGCCAGAGTCATGGGGGAAGTTCATGGGACTCCTGGGAGTATTGAGGGGGTGGCTAGGAGGGGGCAGCAGGACTTTACCAGAGAAGTAGGGGCTGGGGAGTCAGGCAGTGAGATTGTGGGAAGACCAGGGTAGTAATGGGGTCAGTGAAGTGCGAGGAAGGCCCAAGACTTCCTGAAGGCTATAAAGTGGGGTCAAGAAGGAGCAGGGATGTGAACAGATTGGGGCTGGGCCTGGGGAGAGCTCCTAGAAAGACCAGAGTGGCTAGGGTCAGGTGGTGAAAACGAAGGAGTCAAGGAAACCACTGGAGGAAGGAGGGGGGGGAGGAAGTAGGACAGTGACAGAAGGGAGTTCAGGGCTTGGGGCCCAAGAAAATAACTCAGGGGAGGAAGAAGGGGCTGCGCTCTGCCCCTCTTGCTCCAGAAGACAGGGTGGCATTTGAGGTAAGTGGGGCCCGCTGGAGAAGGTGTTAGGGACGTGAAAGCGAAGGATTTTGCATTCAGCATCCGGTACCCCCCACCCTGCTCCATTCGAAGTTAACGAAGGGGTCCTGCCACTCCTGCCACCGAACCAGGACTCCAGATCGTCCCCCCACCCCAACGCACACACTCACTCTGGCCCTCGAACTTGCGGATGATGGTGTCCAGGTAAGTGTTTTGGGGCGCGACGTGGCCCCTACGGACCGGCATCTTTCAGCCGCAGCCTCTGCCCAGAGCCACCAGTGCCCGTCTGCCTGCGTCTCCGCCTCTCCTCGGGCTCAGCGGCGTCCGGCTCCGGGTGGGCGCCGCCCTCGGGGAGGGCCGCTGGCCTCGGTGCCCCGCCCGCCGCCTGCGTCTACCCTCGGCGCCCTCTCCGGCCCTCCCTCGCCGGCCGCTCGCCTCGCCTCCTCCCCTCCGCGCCCGCCCGGGAGCTGTCCGCGCCGCGGTGCTGAAAGAAGCCGCGCGGTGGCGGCGGGCGGGGTTCGCCGGGCGGGGGCAACTTCTCCCGGACCCGACGGGGTAGGGGCCGGGCTCTGACTCCTAGGAAGCGGAGCTGGGCGGGAGTCCCGCGCCAGGAGCCGGGCGAGGCTTCTCCGAGGAGCTTGTGCTCTTGCCCAAATGGCCCGTGGCCTCAGCTCCTCTCAGACCCTCTCCTGGTACAGAAGGGCAGTCTGGACATTGCCGGGCGAGTCTCACAGGCAGGGGAGGGGCAGACAGAAGGGACCGTTAGAGAGCTCAGGTGGTCTTTTGCTGAAGGTTTCTTTCTGGATCTGACCACTGGACCTGACCCTGGCAATGGTACCGTTAGTCCTCTTGCCTGCCCTTGCCAAGTTGTGGTCCAGCTGAGCCCCATCGCCCATGCAGAGCTCCTAGTGGCAAGCCTATCCAGGTCCTGGGAGAATGGAGTAGGAGTACACATGAAGGTGTACAAGAAACGTACAATTAGGTGCTTTTGTCAGAGGCCTGAGAGCTCTTAGCATTCAGGCGCTGCTTGAGAGGAGAACGGATTTAAAACTGCCTATATTAGCTACTGACCACTGATAAAAGTGCCAGGGTACTGATTGAAAATGAATACTCTAGAAGAAGCAGAGGGGAATGGGGTGAGGTTTATTGAAAGAGGCTTCTTGGAGAAGAGGGAGAGAAGGGAATCACTGTTCACTGAGCATCTCAGTGGGCTTGGAGCTTTTCGGAGGGTTCAATGACCAATTTTGAGCCAGGCCTTGAAGGGCAAGCATTCGAATAGGGCATGCACCTTAGGCAAAGGCCCATGGTGAAATCAGTGCAGAGGGGCTGAACTGGGGGTTGGTAGTGGTAAGGTTGGACAAAAAGGGAATTGATAAATACCCTCACATGCCATTTTGAACATCTGAATTTAATTGATAGACAGCCAAGTTCTTAATCAGTTAGATATGAAGGAAATATTCTGGTGAAAGAAACTTTACAATGGCAAGGGGGGAGAGGGATGGCCAAGGAGGCTCGTGGGGTTTTTGCTGGAGTTCAGGAGGAAGACTTGGAGTCCTGGGCTGGGTGTGCCTTTGCCACGCAGAGCCACAATGCCTGATGGGGGCCTCACTGGCCACTGTGGCTAGGAGATGGGAGGGCTGCAAGTGTGGCCTCCTGAGGGGGCAGAGTTGTCCTGGCTGCCCCTGTGTCTGGGTGGGCAGGTTGGCTGTGGAGGAAAGCTGAGGCTGTTTCTCATGGGCTCAGTGTGCGAGGAGCTGAGCTCTGAGGAGGGACTTGGGCAGTGGGACACTCATTCATTCACATACTCACTCATTCAAACATTTCCCAAGTTCCCGTGTGTGCCATGGCCAGTGCTGGCTAGCTGGCTACAGGTGCTACATGGAAGCACACTCCTGATGGGTGTCCTGCCCTTACAGAACCGACAGCTAGCCATGGGGACAAATAAGGACATTACAGCTCAGCAAAGTAAGAACAGTGACAGAGACATCAAATGAGGGTGGTGTGGAGCCTGCAAATGGAGCAGGAAGTGCTTGGGCTCAGCCAGAACTCAGGAAGACCTCTTGAAACCCGGACAGAGGTAGAGTCCATGGAGATCTTAGCCCAGTCCCTCTGTCCCCTGAAGCTCTGACTTCTGGGCTCAGATCTTTAATCTAGAGAGAGCTGGTCCCATCTTTTGGCCACCCTCCCACCGGCTCAATTGCAGCCCTGGTGCCTCCCTCTGTGGTTACTGGCTGTGATGCTACTTCCTCTCAGTTCTCTCCTGATCTCTGATGGGCACAGATTCTCAGCCTCCCCAGGAGCCCCAGGAGCCTCAGTCCAAACTCAATGAGTCCCTGTATATGGGGTGTAGCAGCCCCGTGGTAGGCAGACCCAGGCTGGAAAGAAAGGGCTAGAAGGGGTAGAAGCAGAAGCCTTCCCTCTCTCTTCTCAGGCTTGTCTCTAGAGTCCTAATTTCCCAAATGTCCTTCCTACAGCTCTCCCTACACATCTTACCCTCCCCCATTGAGCCCGGAAAGGTGTGGTTTGCCCTGTGCTCGATCCCCAGGGCAACAGACCAGGCGGCAGGTGTGTGTGTTGAATAAGGCCATCTCCAGAGCGGAGTGGCTGGAGATGAGCTTTGTTTAAATATTAAAGAAGTCAATCATTAATCAAGCCTGGCTTGGTGCCCAGCTACCCACTGTCTCCATTTGGGAGGGCCTGGAAAGGGGCAGGGAGGGCTGGGGGCCAGTTTATGAGGCACCTTGCATCTCAGGCGGCCAACGAGCAGCTTTCGGGAACTGGATTATACAGCCCAACAACATAAGGCAGGCCAGAGGATCAGCAGAAAGATGTACTGGCCAGTATACAGAGCACAGTGCTCATGAACTGGCACCAAGGATTTGTGTAGGAATGTCTGGTTCTACTTGAATACATTTTATAAGGGGACAAAGCTATGTTCTCTTTCTAACCAGAGCAGACACTCCTTGGGCACTGAAGTCCCCACCAGCCCCAGCTGGGGTCCTGAAGAAAACAGAGCTGTGTGATGAACCCGTTCTAAGTGTGAATGGGGTGGGGACCTGTTTGGAGGGACACAGTCACTGGGTCACTAAAATTGTGGTTCCTGAGTCCCTAGGGGAAGGAGGTTGGCCTGGAACCCAGGGCATATGTGGAATCACACAGAGTCAGTTGCCTGTGCACATGACCTTGCATACATGAGTTCATAAACACACAATTACAACACTACATTGTACCTGGATCTGCCACAGTTGCAGTTGGGCACTATGCATGCAAGCTTCCCCCTCTTCAGCATCCCCCACCAACCCTCTCTGGCTTGACTGCCCTCCTCCTGCTCCCCAGCCTCACCAGTCACACTGGTGTCTAGTCCCAACTCCACCATTCAGCTTTCATCCACAGAGGCTTCCTGTTGTTCTGTGTGAAAATCCAAATGGTCAAGCCGATTGAGCACAGCATCAGGATGAGGCAAAGGCCCAGCAGGACCGTCTTTTGACAGCCTGGCGGGGCTCCATGGCTATGCCCAGAAAGTAGGCTTTGGGTGGTATCTCAAGTGTGCTGATGTCCTGAACGCTGGTGTCCTGGGCCGGTGACCTTTTTTCCAGGGAGTGTAGCCTGCAGGCCAGGAGTAGGGCCACCAGGAACATGACAAAACTCAGGGCCAGCAACACCCACTGCCCAAAGTTGACCTGGTTAGGGTCCAGCTCCAGACTCAGGAATGTCACCTTGTCTGTTTCTTTTTCTGTGGAAGACATGGGAATCTTGTAGAGCAGTGAACTGGGGAAGGGACCCTGGGGTGTCCTGTGGCAATCAGAGAGGGTCTGACTGCCACTCGCCTTCTCCTTCAGCCTCAGGTACCTACCTTCCAAGCCACAGATAAGGGCATTACCTGGAAGAAGGGTGAGAAAGAGGAGTAGAAGGAAGAGAAGGGGAAATGGACACAGAGAGGGCTACACACCACATGGTGCCCAGCAGTGGCCTGTACAAGGGTCAGGAGGCAAGATGACCACCTTGTGCTCAGATGCCAACCTGGCAGTCTAGCTGGACAGTGTGCAAGGAAGCAACTGAGCCAGCGGCTGGGGCATGGACTCCAGTCTTAGCCAAGGCTGCATCAAGTGCAGACAGGGTCACCCAGAAGCAGTGCTGCGCTTGTTCAAGGCAGGTCATAGATGAGCTAGGAGTTAAGGCTGGGTTGGGATAGGGGTTGGCCCGGGGAAGTCTAGCGTAGGGTTTGGGGCTGGACCAGAGCTAGGACCAGGGTCAGATTATCAAACCTTCGAAGTAACAGCTGAAGTCTGGCCAGCCCAGGATCTCCCCCTGCTGCACATTCTCAGTGACCAGCCAGTTCAGCAAGAGCTTGGAGTAGGTCATGATGGCCTTTGCAGGCACCTTGGTCTCCCCAGTTATCTTCTCCAGGACTTCTGGCCAGGGCTTGCTCGAGCCCAGCTTTAGGACATCCCTGGGAATGTGGATACAGCTGTGAGCTGCATGGGGGCATCAGCTGGTGCTGCTAAGACCCTTCAGGATGCCCAAACCTGACCCTAGGACTTTGCTAGTCAGACTCTTCCCACTGAGCTCAGCATAGTACATAAAAGCTTTGAAATAAGACCAACCTGGGTTTGAATCCTGACTCTGTCACTCAGTAGCTGTGGGGCTTTGGGCAAATAACTTAACCTTTCTGAGCCTCAGCTTCCGTATTCATAAACTGGAGATAATAACAGTACCTACCTCTCAAGGTTGTTGTGATGATTAAAGAAACACAACGCTGGGAGCATAGTAGGCAGACAATAAATGTGAGCTGCTAATTATTATTATTATTACCACTACTGTGACGATGATTATGCCCTGGGCTCAAACAGGCATCAAGTTTTGAGACGCTGTCTCCCACGCGGTGCTCGGTGTCAGTAGGGAGAGGCAGCTCTTCAGCCTTCCTGGTCTCACAGGGAGTGTTTGGGAGGATTAGAGAGAGTGAGTGTGGGATGTGCTCTAGTCACTGCCTGCAGCGCTGCACAAATATCACTCTGTTTCAAGGCACACCCAGTGCATGGTGGCAGGGGATGGAGCCTCAGGCTTGGTCTGCACACTCATGGTGGGGGGACAGAGTGTGCTGAAGCCAGGGCTCTGGGCTCCTCCACCCCAGAGTCCCCTGCAGAGGCAGTGGTAGGCATATGTCAATCCTTCTCCACCTGCTCTTTCCCCACCTGACCAGGAGAGAGGTGGGGCCTAGAGACCCAGAAGTCATAGTGTGGAGTCTACACTAACAGGACCCAGGTTCAAGACCCAGCAGTGCTATTTATGGGCTGCATAACCTCAGGCAATCAACTTAACCTCTGTTAGCCTCAGTTTCCTCATCAGTAAAATGGGCCCCGTTACTACCCGCTTGTCATTGCGGCGAAGATTAAGTCATGTAATGGCGGCAAAAGAGGGCTTTCCAGCCTGCAGAGACTTACTTGATACACATCACTCAACAAACAACTGGGAAAGAGTGAGCGGAGGAGACTAAAGGTCAGTGGATTCTTGGCAGAAACCACTGAGGGAGAATGTAGTTAAGATCCTAGAAAAATGGAGGAGAAAAGTCATCAAGATCAAAAGAAAAAAACAAAAACCCACAACTAATTTTAGGAAGAGGATTTTATCAGATACCAGGTCTTGGGAAAAAGGAAGGACCTAGTGGGGAAAAGTTTCCTCCACTGAGAATCTGCCTATTTAGAAAGAGTCCCCAGGCTCAGTGGGACAAGAGGTTGGACTGAAGCCCAGCTGATGGTCCATGTTGGCAGCACACAAGACTTGCAAATGTGACAGTTGGGTGCTGCTCGGAGCCCTCAACTCCAAGGTGGCAGCAGCGGGCTCCATGGACAAGGTCAGGCCCACCATGGCTGGCTGGGTGAGACAGGGGGACTTTGGGAATTTGGACCAAGTCCACTTTGGCCCCCCGTTCCCAGCAGAACCATCCCAGAGGCTAGCCCAGGCAATCACATTTAGGAAGATGAGTCAAAGGGAGCAAAACCAAGCTTTAAGATATATTAGGCAAAAAAGCAGCCAAGAATCTTGCCCTTCCCATTCTCCCCTGCAAGCACTCGCCATCCCTCTCTGCTCCATAGCTCATAATCTGCTCTGCTGCCATCTCCCTCCCCAGAGCTCATGACATCCCCCTTTCTCAGAGACCTCTCTTCTGCCCTCTGCCCAGAAAATGGTATTCAAAGTCCTAAACCTGGAACTCAGGGACTTCCCTGGCCAGGGGTCTGGATGATGATGCGTGGGCACTGGTGAGCAATGACCAGTGATGACGTGCAAGGCCTCTCCATGCTTTGGCACCAAGTCAGGCCCTGGGAGCCTTGTGCACCCTGAGGGGAGTGGTGAGAACGACTGAGGTCAAATGTTCTACCAACCAAATGGGAAGAAGGCTCAGAGTTCAGAGTGAGTTGACATCTAGAAAACAGCTTCTGCTCTTTCTTACACTCCCGCCTTTGGGCTCAGAGCTCCCTCCTTGTTTCCCTGGCAGGACCTCCTCACCCTCTTTGCCCTTTCTTACTGCACCAGCACCTTTCTTGTCTTACGGTTATTGATTTATCCTGTGGCCCATTGTCCCCTGCTGGATGGTCAGCATGTGCACAAGTAAATGTTTGCTGAATGAATAAATGATGGGCAGCCAGAGACATGAATGCAGAGAATAGAGAGGTTCCTTATGTTCCACACATTCAGAAAAGCTCAAACCTGGGCAGTCAGCTAGAATAAACCCCTGTGGATTGAAAAGATGGAAAAGCAAGTAGACTCGGGAGACAATAGGTATGGAAGGTATAGCCCTCTTTGGGAGCAAAGCTAGAGGACCAGTCCTGCAACTCCATCTGGCCTAGTGGTTACTGACAAACTGCATGGTGGAATCGCAAATACTATGCTCATTAAATTTGCAAAGGATACTAAATTACGTTGCTTTGTTAAGAAAGTGGGTGTGAGTGTGTGTGTGGTGTGTGTCAATGAGTGTGTGAGAGAGATTGAGTGTGTGAGTATGAATGTATATGTGTGCATGTATGCGAGTGTGAGTGTATATGTTAGCAGGAGGGGCTAAACAGTCTCTCTGACCACAAGGGGCTACACAAGAGGACATAGGCTTTAAATAATGTAGGAGAGACTGCAGTCTGACACAAGGAAGAACTTCCACTAGAATATAAGCTCAGTGAGGCTCTAGTCAGAGTGCTGAGGGTGGCCAGGTGAGGAGAGGGGGCCTGGGGCCGGGCATCCAGCAAGGGAGGACGGGAAACTGAGAACAAATGAGGGAAGAGGGCACTCACTCCAGGAGCTTTCCAGCCATCTTAGAGTTATAGATGTCACACCGGTGCAGCAGACCCATGTGGCCTGTGGCCTTGCACAGTGCTTCGTGGAACTGAAACTGGAGCACTAGGCTGAGGAAGTACCTGGGTAGAGGAACGTGAGGGCAGGCTAGGGAGTGGGTGTCAGGGATGGGAAGCCCAGAGCCATGTGGAGCTGGCAGCTCTGACACGCAGGGGCCACTAGGGCCCATGGCAGCAGTCACAGCCTGGGTGGAAGCTCCTTCGGCAAGGTCCCGCCATGGGCTGGCCCTAGAATACTATGGGGCTCTCCTTCTTAGCCTCTGGACCAACCCTTGCCTCCTTCTTTCCTGCCCTCCTCTTAGGAACAGCAGAGATGCTTTAGAATATTCCTATGAGCTCCGCCCTCCACATGGGATCTGATGTAAAGGCCCAAAGGATTCCAGGGCTTGGCCCTCAGAAGGCTGTGCACCAATGGGAAGAGGTGGGCAGGCCTGCAGGAGGACATTCTGATCTAGGGCCTTCCTGGAAATCCTTGGCCTGGTTCCCAACCCCCAACCCCCAACCCCCAACCCCCAACTCCCAGAGCTGGTTCTGCTGGTAGGGCCCAGACCTTTACCGTAGATAGGGCATGCTGGCTGAGATGTGGAACTTGGCAGCTGGATCAAAGTCTTCCTCTGTCCGAGGGGTGGGGGGGCACAGGCCCTGGTACTTCAACCTGGTGGGGAAAACAGGGGCCTTGATAGTGCTGCCCGGGGCGGGTCTCAGAGTCGTTCCTTTCAGAGCATTTGCACGGCGATCACAACCACACCCAGCGTGCAGGGGACACACTGAACTTTTATTGATTAAACAGACGAGTTGAAAACTCATGGGATTGGGGATCAGAATGAAATAATAATAGTTGTTGACACTGACTGAGCACTTCCTCTGTGCTGGGGACCATGCTGAGCTTTTCACATAGCTCACTTGACACTATCCTGGTTCTGGGGACACAGGAGGGGACAAACTAGGCAAGGTCCCTGCTTGCATCCTAAGGGTGGGGGATGGCTGTAGACCAACCCCCAAGGTTGTTTCATCTAGTAAGAAGTGCCAAGAAGAAAATAGAGTTACATCCCTGTGGCTAGTACCACGATTATTCCATTTCACAGATGAGGAAACCAAGGTTTAGAGATCAGGGAGCTGGTGGCAGGATGCAGAACTGGGCAGAGCCCAATAACTTTCAAGGTCAGGTCTGGTTTTACCCCTCTGATCTGTGTGACTGTGGGAAAGTTACTGATTGTCACTGAGCCTTGTTGTTGTAAAATGTCTGTAAAATGGGCGTAAAATGACCCATCTTTGGGATGAGACAAAGTCTGTAAAAAGGCTCATCATTTTGTTGCTGGCTCACTGGAGCCTCTGAACCGTCCTCTTGGGTTGACAGACAGTCAGGAGCTTCCTCTCCCAGTGGACAGGGCCTGTTCAAGGCCCAGGGAATCACCACCCCTCTCCCTCAGCCCCCGGTTTCCATTATTTGGAGGGGGTGGGTCTGGTGGACAGAAGAAAGAGAAAGATCCCTGCAGGTGCTTCAGATGGCTGGTGGAGGGTGCCCTTGGGGGGACACAAGGTCAAAACTCTGCCAGTCCCACCAGTGAGACCTGGTCCTGAATTCAGGGTGTGGGTGGGAGGGTGAGAGGACAAAGAGAGGAATGTCCCCCTCTGCTACCCCTGGGTTGCTCTGTGACCATGGGCTGGTCACACATTCTTCTTTTGTGAATGTCCACTGGTTGTTGTAAAGGTTCAAATAAATGTAAGGGCCTGGTGCAGAGCTAGCAGGCTCTTCACAGTCACCCCAAGCCACTCTGTGGCCAGTAGACTAGAGTTGGTTAGTGTGAGGCCTGGTGGAGATGGAGCCCTGGCCACAGGCATTTATTATCCAGTCAAACAGCCAGGGGTCAGTGGTGGGATGCTGTGTGGGTGTCCCTCACTCAAGATGATGCTGCCTGACTGCTGGTGGGCTCCTTCAGAAGCCATTTCTGACCTTGGATGTGCCCCGGATGCTAAGCCAGAGGCAGGCGTGTGTGTTGGGCCAGCAGGATAGGGAGCAGTGGGCTTGCTTCTCTCTCAGGCAGATTGTTTCCACAGGAGGGAAAGAGCTCAGGTCCCCCAACCCCCTTTCTGGTGGGAACAGAAAGGGAGGGGAGGAGCAGGAGGCCTGGCTGGTGGTCAGTGGTCTGTTCTTAAAGGAGCCCAGATGCAACTGCTGTGTTAGCTTCCCAGCCACCCAGAGGTCAGACAGGGCCACCGCTGGGATCCCTGGAGAGGTCAGAGGTCTGCTCAGTGCTGGGGTCAATTCAACACGAGGCCTCATGATACCCACGCTGGCCCTATCTACTTTACCAGGGGTGATTTTGTCTGGTGGCGGCAAACTGCCACACCACCCAGGGGCTCTCCCATGGCCCCCAGGTCACCAGCACTACACACCCAGCTCTGCCCTCAGGGGAGAACAAGCAGCACTCTATGGCAGTGGGTGGTACCCTTGAGGATGACCCGAAAACCCTGCCCACACCGGGGTGGGAAGGGGCAGAGAGTCCAGGGCAGTGGTCCTCCCCACCTGAGGCTCCACCACTCCTGGTTGTAGACGTCCTTCTGGATGGTGCCATCAAAGACCTTCCAGCGAGACAGGTCCATCAGGTAAGCGAAGGGGATGAAGGCAATCTTGTCCAGGGCAATGCCCATCAGGAAGTTGACCTCCTCCTCTGGGGAAGGTGGGGCAGTCAGAAGATGGCTCCTGGTTCTCCCTCCCTTAGCGTTGCCTGGAAAGCCCAGGCACGGGCTGCCCTCTTATGGTCTCCTTGGTCCCCATCACCTGAGTCCTGATGCTGGTGGCTGAGCAGGCCTTTATTGAGCAGGTGTTTGTGGGAGAAGACCGACAGGATGATCACCAACCCCACGGCCTCTTCAAAGGCTGGGTTGGTGCCTGCACGGAAGATCACAGAGAGGTTCTTGTACTGCAGGAAGTACTGGATATGGCCCATCTGGTGGAAGATGGAGAGCAGGTCTTCTATGGTCACCTCGGTGCACTTCTTTATCCTAGGGTTAAAGGGCAGGGGTCAAGGAGCATGGGGATGCCCTGGGAGAAGGGGAGATTTCTCCTTTCAGACTCTGTTAAGGGACTGGGGTGGTTGGCTAGAGACCAGCAGGGCCTTGGTTGCTGTCCTTTCTCACTCTGGGCCCCATAGCCCAACCAGTGGCCAAGCCCCTTGCTCTAACACCCACCTCTCCCAAGTTGCCCTGGCTCCTGCCCTCCCCACCCCTTGTGCACACCTCCTCAGACAGACAGACTGGTGGAGAGCGGAAGGAGCAGAGGAAGAGCGAGAGGGGGCGGGAGAACAGTGCTGGGTGTAGGGTGAGCACCTGAAGTCCTGGCCATTGTAGAAGTCCCAGGCAGAGGCGTGGCACTCCACCTCCCTCCCATCGGCCGGCCTTTCCATCATTGACTTTCTCCAGAAATCCGGTGGAGTGGAAAGCAGCCCCAGGGACGTGTAGAAATTTTCAGCCTCTATGAACATTTTCTCGGGCTTCCAGTGCTGCGGGGAAGAGAGGGTGCTTGGGCCCTGCTCAGGGGGAAGAGCAGGCAGTGGCACTGACCTGGACTTTCATGTTCCTCGTGATGTCATCGAGGGGCTTCTTCGGGAAGGGCAGGACCAAGTCTAAGATGTTGACCCAGGATTGAGCCCACATGTTCCCTGCAAGGGGAGCGGAGGGGCTAAGAAGAAGCGGGAGACCACCTCTCCCTTTCCTGGGCATCTGCTTGGAGGCCTTCTCTGCCTGCCCCACCTCTGCTGCCAGACCAGCAGGCACTTTACCCAGAAGATGGGCAGGGATGGGCCCCCTCAGGTCGATGAGCTCAGGCCCGTAGTGGCGGTGCAGGGCCCGGCGCACGTAGGCATGCAGATTGAGGTAGAGCGGCTGCAGCTCCTGGTAGAGATGCTCCAGGTCTTGCTCCAGTGTATCGGACTCGTACATGGACTGCCACAAGGCCCCCATGTCTTCGTAACCTAAGACAGGAGAGGGGGCTCAGAAACACTCACCCCACCCTTCAGCCCTGGTCTGGCAGGCGGGAGACCCAGGCACGATCTAGGGAAGCCACTTGATCTCCCTGATCCTCAGGATCTTCATCTGCCAAAGGGGAAAAGTACCTCCTAAGGCCACTGTCAGTACAGGATGGGATCAGGGTGGAAAAGCATTTAGCAAAGTACCTGATCCATGCTCTTCACTGAGCCTGGTTAGAAATGACATGGATAAGGCCCTGTGTCCTCTCTCACCTGCCTGGAGCCCCACCCATCCAAGCCCTCACTGCACAGACTTCTTCCAAATCCTCCCAAACACCGGCTACCCCCATTGCTGAGCCTGGAATGCTTTTCCACTTCCTGCTTGCTTGGCTCCTTCCCATCTTTCTGGCCTTCCCAGACCACTTATCCAAAGCAGGTCTCTCCTGATTCTCTCTCAGCAACCCCTTCCTTCTCAGCCTTTATCCTGGGTGGTAGCTGGAGATGTGTGCGTGCATGAATACTTTCTGTCTCCCAGAGGGCTGTGAGTCCAAGAGGGCAGGCACCTGCTCTGTCTTCACCTATTCATCCTGAGAACTTCCCCAGCACCCGCGCATAATAGGTGCTCAGTCAGTGTTTGTGGAACAACATAGTGAATGGACCACTTTCGCCCTCACTGGCTGCAGGGCTCAGGTGCCCATCTCCAGGCCCTGCCCCTGCCCTTCCCTCTGCAGACTTGGCTTCACCCTTCTCAGACATTGCTGCTGTGTGCCGTATGCTCAGGCTGGTTAGGGTTGGGGGTCTCACCGTTGAGCTTTGCAGCCTTGTTGCTGAGCTGCACATAGCGCTCGAAGGTCATGCGGACCTGGGGACCCACAGCATCCCGCCAGCCCTGCCAGGCCCATAGTAGCTCCTTCTGGTCCCGGGAGGTGGCCATGACCTCTTCGATGTCTGTGCCCAGAAAAGGAGCCAAGGTGGGACCCCCAACTCCCACCTGGCCTCACAACCCTAGGCTGCTCCCACTCCTCCAACATGAGAGCACAGTTGGGGTAGGGAGGAGGATGGGAGTTAGGAGACTCCTGGAAGGGGCTGGTGCTGGAGACCAGTCAGGCAGGGGGCAGGCTTGGGTACTCACCAGGTTGCAGGGGCAGGCATGGCCCCTCATTCATGCACACCTGGGCCGTGCTTGTACATCGTCTCAATGTAGGCCAGAAGCTTGTTGTACTGGGGGACAGGTGTCACCCAGGGCAGGCCCATGCCCATCGGCCCACCCCCAGCGCCAGCCCCACCAGCTGGGAGAGGTGGGCCTGGCTGAGGCATCTTCCCACCAGTCTCCGCTTTCCCCCTCCCCCAGAGAAAGCTCTGGCCCTGCCCCAGCAACCTCCCTCCTGCCCCAGACACTCCGGCTCCCCATCCAGCAGCTCACCCACCCACCCCTGGCTGGGGAGCATGTGCCTGGAGACCTGGGGGCTCCCTCCATCACCTCCTGGAGCTCGTCCTTGGGGAGGGCCGCCTTGTCTATGTTCTGCAGCTTACTCAGCATATGCTTCACGACCGGGTCCTGGAACCTGGCAATCTTAAACAGGCGGGCTTGGGTGCCAAAGAACAGCATGTGCTGGGACCTCTCCATGTCCTTGAGCAGCTGGAAGGAGGGTCACCATGTTTGTTGTGGGAGATTGGGGGAGGGGATAAGGGCTCCACATTGAACTTCAGGACCATGGCCCCAACCTCCTCCTAAAGCCCACTTTAAGCGTTCAGAATCACTGAAGATTTGCTAAGAGGGAGAAAGGAGGGACCCTGGTTCCCTAAAAGCAAGGAGGTGATGTTTACAAGGGGAAAGAAGTAAAAGATTCTTGCCCAGAGAGCGTTTAGGGCCACCAAGAAGCCCAGAGCTTGCAGCCTGCTTTGACATGTACTTTGGGGCTTCCCTCTTTCCTCGAGCTGAGGACACACAACAGAAGGTGTGGTTCCCCCATCCCCTCGAGACCCCTGAGAAGAGCAAGGTGGGAAGGGGCTGCAGCGGAGGTGGTACCACACCATCTCCTCCAGATTTTGCTGGTTGATATTGGTGACATAGTTCCAGGAGGCCTCCATGAACCGGTTCCACACAACCCTGGTTGTATTCTCATAATACTGCAGGAAGATCTTTGCCATGGTCTCATTGTAGAAGTCATCTGCGGAGAGGGAGGTGGGCATCATGCTGTCCTGCAAGGGGCCTACCCTTGCCTGGTCCCCTTGTCTGATCCCACGCTCCTTCAGGTCTCAGCCCCACCTGAGCTCTGATCACCCTCGGTCCTTAGCCATGGCAAAAGATGCCCATATAGAAGAGCACAAGTAGGGAAGGTCCAGGGCAAGTCCATCTTGTACCCATGACCAAGAGAACAGCAGAGCTGGGTGAGTCTATGGGCCAATCACGATCCAGTTCCATATTGTGACATCACGGGCTAAAGGGTCAGCCATGGAATGCCACAACTGGAAAGCCCCCCATCTTCTGGTCCAACTGTCCCCATTTTACAGGTGAAGAGACTGAGATCTGGAACAGTCAAATCATACGACCTGGTTCACCCGGCTAGTTAGTGGCAGAGTCAAGAGGAAAACGAGGGTTCTTGACTTTTAGGCTAGAACTCGTTCCACTCTACTTGGTCATTTCTCCTTGGCATTGTAGCCATGCTTGGGCCTTGGCCAGGGATTGATGAGACCTCTCCCTCCACAGGCTGGGATCACCTCTGAGCAGGTGGGTGGGATGATGAATGGATGGACGGATGGATGGATAGATGGGTAGAAGTGACATCTCTGGGTCTCTGGACTCTAGGAGCACGGTTGTCTCTCCGTGTTCTTCTTTTTTTTTTTTTGAGGAACATTAGCCCTGAGCTAACTGCTGCCAATCCTCCTCTTTTTTCTGAGGAAGACTAGCCCTGAGCTAACATCTGTGCCCATCTTCCTCTACTTTATATGTGGGACGCCTACCACAGCATGGCTTGCCAAGTGGTGCCATGTCTGCACCCGGGATCAGAACCGGAGAACCCCGGGCTGCCAAAATGGAACATGTGCCCTTAACCTCTGCGCCACTGGGCTGACCCCTCTCTGTGTTCTTCTGATTTGAGTTCCTATGTTCACCTTTTTGCCCTTGGGATGTATGATCATCCCCAAGGCTGTGCAGGGCCTTTCCTCCCTGTTTCAGGAGAGCCTGGTCTATGAGTTTGCAGTCAAGACAAGAGACAGAAGATAAGGGCTGCGAGGGGGGTGGGGAGGTGTAGCTGGTGCCTTCCATTCAGGGTGCATGTCCCTGAGTACCTGAATCTGGTTTGGGCACCAGATGGCAGGACCCCAGCTCTCTGCTAGTCTTTGGTGATTCCCCAGTAGCCTGACACATGTAGTCTGAGGACACTAGCCCATCGATCTCACTTTGGGATTCTTTCCTAGACTCACTTTCCTCTACACCCAAACTCCCTCCACTCTGTGTCCCCTTCACTCACCCTCCTCAGCCCAGGTGTACCCACGTCTTCACACATGCCCCACCCCTTCACACGGGCTGACGTCATGACCAGAGAAACTGACCAAATAACCCTCCAAATATGATCTCTTATGATCACAATTTATTTAAAGCATGAGGAAAGAAAAAAAATCAGTGACACTTCTGGTTAAGCTGGCCCACTGAACTCTCAGGGAAGGCTTTCCTTCTGCTTCAAACATATAGACATACTTGATAAACGTAGTATTTTTCTTTTCTTTAAATTATGGTCACCTGTACATTACATCCCAAGGACTTATAACTGGAAGTTTGTACCTTCTAACCACCTTCACCCATTTTACCCACCCAACATCCCGCCTCTGGCAACCACCAATCTGTTCTGTGTTTCTGGGAGTTTGTTTGTTTGTTTTTTAGATTCATATGTAAGTGATATCATATAGTATTTGTCTTTCTCTGATTTATCAATTCACTTAGCATAATGCCCTCAAACTCCATCCATGCTGTTGCAAATGTCAGGATTTCCTTCTTTTTTATGGCTGAATAGTATTCCACTGTATACATATACCACATTTTTTTTTATCCGTCCATCCATCGATGGACATTTAGGTTGCTTCCATGTCTTGGCTGTCGTAAATAATGCTACAATGAACATGGAGGTGCAGATATCTTTTCAAGATACTGATTTCATTTTCTTCAGGTAAATATCCAGAAGTGGAATTGCCATCTGTACGTCTTCTTTGGAAAAATGTCTACTCAAATCCTCTGTCCATTTTTAAATTGGAATGTTTATTTTTTTGTTATTGAGCTGTATGAGTTCTTTATATATTTTGGATATCTGATATATGATTTGCAAATGTTTTCTCTAATTCCATAGGTTGTCTTTTAACTTTGTTGATGGTTTCCTCTGCTGTACAGACGCTTTTTAGTTTGATGTACCCCCACTTGTTTATTTTTGCTTTTGTAGCTTTTGCTTTTGGTGTCAAATCCAAAAGATCATTGCCAAGATTGATGTCTAGGAGCTTACCCCTATGTTTTCTTTTAAAAGTTTTATGGTTTCAGGCCTTATGTTCAAGTCCTTAATCCATTTGGAGGTGATTTTTGTATATGCTGTAATGTAGGGGTCTAGTGTCATTATTTTGCTTGTGGTTGTCCAGCTTTCCCAACACCCTTTGTTGAAGAGACTGTTCTTTCCCCCATTGTATATTCTTGGCTCCTTTATCATAAATATATTGACCTTATGTGCATAGGTTTATTTCTGGGCTTTCTATTCTGTTCCATTGATCCATGTGTCTGTTTTTATGCCAATGCCATTCTTTTTTTTTTTTTAAAGATTTTATTTTTTTTCCTTTATTCTCCCCAAAGCCCCCCGGTACATGGTTGTATATTCTTTGTTGTGGGTCCTTCTAGTTGTGGCATGTGGGACACTGCCTCAGCGTGGTCTGATGAGCAGTGCCATGTCCGCACCCAGGATTCGAACCAACGAAACACTGGGCCATCTGCAGCGGAGCGCGCGAACTTAACCACTCGGCCACGGGGCCAGCCCCGCCAATGCCATTCTGATTATTACAACTTTGTAACATAGTTTGAAATCAGGGAGTGTGGTGCCTCCAGCTTTGTTCTTCTTTCTCAAGATTGCTTTGGCTATTTTGGGTCCAAATGTAGTATTTTTTAAAAGGCAAAATACAGGCTGAGTTGGAAAGTAGGAAAGGGGACCCTTCAGATCCTGGAGAGAGAAAGAGGGCTGATGCAGCAGTGAGTGGGGGCCCTCGTGGGAAATCACAGTGCATCCGTGCCCAAAAGGATGCAGCACTGGTGCCTGTGTAGGGATAGCTGATCATGGTGGAAGTAATGGCTCCATCAAACCAGGAGCCAGCGGATGGTTTCCTTTCTAAGAGGGCCTGCAAGAAGCAACCATGAAACTGACCTTAGGGACATCTCCACAACCTGGTTTGTATGGGACCATGCAGAAGGCTGTTCCCACTGAAGATGGCTCATTGACCAAGGTTACCAAGTAGAAGAGAAAGTCCAACGCCATGAGGATCAACAATGATCACTAGCCCCCACTGAGCACTTCCAGGTGCTAGAGACCCTTTGAGGGTTTTCAGTGTATGAATCCTCACAGCAAACCCATGAGGTAGGTACTGTGATTGACACCCCCACCTTGCAGATGAGGAAATGGAGGCACAGAGAGGTTAAGGAACTTGCTCACAGTCATGTAGCTAGAAAATAGTGAAGGTGGGACTCAAATCCACACGGTTTGGCTCCAGAGCCTGTGCTAATTACAGACACAATGAATGGAGTAGACCACACCTGAGGAGGGAGCGGTCTTAGAGAAATTGGAAAGAGACTTAAAATACAGGTCTTTATACCATATACAAAAATTAACTCAAAATGCATTAAAGACCTAAACCTAAGAGCTAAGACTATAAAATTCTTCAAAGAAAACAGAGTGTAAAAGCTTTAAGACTGGATTTGGCAATGATTTCTTAGATGTGACACCAAAAACACAGACAACAAAAGAAAAACTAGACAAATTAGATTTAATCAAAATTAAAAACTTTTGTGCATCAAAGGATGCTAACAACAGAGTAAAAAGGCAACCCACAGAATGGGAGTAAATATTTGCAAATCATATATCTGATAAGTGATTAATATCTAGACTATATAAAGAAATCCCCAAACTCAACAATGAAAAAACAAACAAGCCAATTCAAAGATGGGCAAAGGATTTGAATAGACATCTCTTTAAAGATGTTATATAAATGAATAATAAGCACTTGAAGGATACTCGATATCACTAATAGAGAAATGCAAATCAAAACCATGAGATACCACTGGATGACTATTATAAAAAAAAACCCCAGAAAACATCAAGCGTTGGCCAACACGTAGAGAAGTTGAAACCCTTGTGCATTGCTGGTGGGGATATAAAATGGTGCAGTCACTGCGGAAAATAGTATGGTGGTTCCTCAGAAAACTATAGAATTACCGTGTGATCCAGAAATTTCAATTTGGGGCATATACTCAAAAGAATTGAAAGCAGGGACTCGAACACATATGATGGTGATGGTTGCACAGCAATATGAAAGTACTCAATACCACTGAACTGTACACTTAAAATGGTTAAAATAGTCCATTTTATGTTATGTATATTTTATCCAAAATTTTTAAAAAATACAGGTCTTTAGCGTGATAAAAGAAGGAACAAGAAATTGTGAAGCAAGAATAGGCTTTTCTGAAAACACAGGAGGTTTGAAAGAAATTGAGATATGGAAATGAAAACTACAGTTATTAAATTGGTAAAACAAAAATCTCGATGGATGGGTTAAGCAGTAGGGTGAAAGGCAGAATTAGAGCCTGAGAAGACACAGCTGGGGAAATTGCCTGGCGCACAGAGCACAGAAAGAGATGAGAAATACGAGCAAGAATTAGGAGACACAGAAGACAAAATAGAAAGCTCCAAGCATAGTCTGTATGAGTCCCTGAAGAGGAGATGGAGAGGATGAGGAAAGGTGACATTCAAGGAGACGATGGCTGAGTGTTTCCAGAACTGGAGAAGGCGGAGTCTCTGGGGTGAACAACTTCATTGCACTCCTAGGAAGAAAACAGTTGATGGTGCAGGAACCATGAGAAAGTTTCTGGAAGGCACGTCAGGAGAGGTGAGCGTTCAATTCAACTCTCAGTGAACTGCTCTGGACCTCTTTCTCTATCTGTCTAGTGAGGGGCTGATCTTGGCTTGACCTTCCAGCTCCCACAGTCTGTGACTGGGGATGTTTGAAATGTGAGACAGATATAAAACAATCTTTATCAGGAGATGATGCATTCATTATAAAGAGAGGAAACTATTAGGAATTTCTATATTATCTCATTTAATCTTCTCAGCAATCATGAGAGGATTTATAAGAACCATTTCATAGGTGTGAAAAT